CCTGTCACCAAAGATTCAGGGTGCCACACTCCTCCCCATCGCTGCATTTCCTCCCTTGAGTGTCTCACTCAGTTTCTACTGCCGCATATCAGTCATGTGGTTTTGTTTTTCTTCTCCACTCGTTTTTTTTTCTCCCTCCATATTTCTTTTGTAATGTGACCAAGTCTTTGAACAATTTGTCTCCTGTGAATACAGTCGAACCTCCAAAGGCCGACCACAGCCTGTTCCAAGAAAAAATGGAATTTGATTTGCTCGGGGTCAAACTGGGCATCGCTGAATCTTATACAGGCTATGGTTTAAAAAAACCTGTCGCGTGAATTCAGAGATGTCTTTCTGCGTGTTTGAAGATGACTGCTGAAATGTGCAAAGTCTGAGAACTTTTGGACTACTAAATTGTGAGTGTATAGCATTTCGCTATTTTTCACCATTTCAGTCTTCCGGTTAAACAGAAAAATTATACACCCTACCATGTAAGAACGTGAAGGCCTTCATTAGCATGTGTGGTTATCCGTTGCAATTGTGAGTTACTACACTCCGGAATTGCATCTTCCCTGAAGGCCACAATTTATAGAACAACTCGATGTTGTTATTTTATTTCCCAAGCAACAGCGGTGACGCTGGAGAGACGGCTGGCCGCCGGCCCCCTCCCGCCGAGAGGAGCTCCAGAAGTCTGTTAGCCCGCAAGCTAGCTGTTGGCTCGTGCCTCTTGTCCTCGCCTGTGACTATTCCAGCTACCCGAGGCGTTAAACGGATATTTTTCTCATGACTCAAACATGTCAGGATGGATACGCATGAGAATGATGCTAGATGAAGTAGCATCCATAATATGTAGCACATATTTCAGTGCACATACCCGTGGTCATTTTGAAGCCTCATTTGATATACTTTGCTTTTTTTTTTTAATCAATTAAATTCAGCCCGGTTGTTAACAACATTCTTCACTGTAGTGCGTCAAAACAAGAAGACATTTATTTTCCACTTTGCACAGACTTCAGTTAGCTAACACTCCCATCTGTCATTACTTAACCGCTTTTTAATAGAATGATCAACTACATATCACCCTTCAATGATGAGTGACAACTTGCTGTAAAGACAGCTTACTTTTTAACATTCCTGTCAAACAAGTAGAAATTGACCACCGTTAACAGCAATAAAATGCGGATGCTGTGACAAAAGTATTGATAACACCCATGCTAATATCGGTTCAAAAAGGGCACAGCTACTAGAAAGAACCGTAAGCATGGTCCAAATATAAACTTTTTTTTTTTTGTTTGTTTGTCTACTAAGGGTGTGTTGAAATTCACAGAATGATTTTATTCATTCTCACTTCAGACCAACGGGCGGTGATAGATTTTTAATGACTGGAAAGGCAGGCTGGGTGCATGGACACATAGAAGAAGAAGATAAGAGGACTCAATCAGGAAATATCCATCAAAGGAAAAAAGCAGATCTTGCAAACATCAAGGTTTAGCATCTGGCTGGAAAAGTCCATAAGGTGTGTTGTTTTGGCTATTGGAAAAAAAAGTGTTTATGTGCATTTTGAAGTTTAGTGCGTGGGCTAGCACGAACGTTCGTGTTTGTTTAGTAGTTTGAAATGTAAAATGGGTGTTACTGTTTGACAAACTGATAAGTAAAGGATTAATTGTATCAATTTGTATCCTTATAGAAAAGTTATGAACGCATTGATAGATTTGTAGATTTCTAAAAAGTAATTGCACGTTTCATGCTATGTTTATATCCCAACATCTTTGATCTTTTCTCTTTTCTCCATAGTTTTTATATTTTGATCTGTCAGATCCTGTTTCTTACTTTTGTTACATATAGAAGTTTTTCCTTTTTCTTAGCTCTCAGGGTGACGATCACTTAAAGACGCTACACCGCCATCTTCTCTAGGACAACGCAATCTATGCTAATGCTAGGTAAACCTGTGTGTTTCCCACTTTGTGAGCTTATGTCTCCACACCCAGCTGCTCAAACATGCCTTCCCACAGGGACCTCAAATCACCCAACTGTTACACATTAAAATCTAAAGAAGACTGTGTGGGTGTGATACAACCTGGAATTTTGCTTGTGGGGCTACCAATCAAAATAAACGTGTGCCGTAAACCACGGTGTACCATTACGATATTAATGACACTTACAATTGATCACTTGTGGTAAGGGCAAAATTTATTGTAGATTTTCTACTTTCCTCGACTTTTTTGTCTTAGATGCAAACAGTCCCAAACTGTAAGCTCCTAGATACACTTAACACTTACACCGGAGGTCTGTGCCTCTTTAAATATGTTAAGTATGACACCAACCAACGAACCCATCCTCCCAAGCTCTTCACATACGCTGACATAATACTGTCCACGGACTTTTCGCTCGCCCCCTTTCTTCTTCCACTCCTTGAGTGAATTTGTCAATCTGACATCGTTTTCATGTTGTAAAAAACGATCTTCATCCAACTCCTACCCCCCTAAATATGATCCTAAGGAAATCAAAACAAACTGCCATGCCTTTCGACGCATGCGTGTAATGGAATGCCAGTGTTGTTTTCAATGCTTGCCGTCTCCTCCGCTGCGAGCTAACGGAGGGGCGGGGCTTTACATAGATGACACGCCCCTTTTCACCGTATATGGTTGGCGACATGGGCTCCGCAAATGTGAGTTGCTAAGTGGAAGTGCAACAACCCTACAGACTGTTCCTAAAATTGTTTTCTCAAACGTTGCTCTGGAGTAGCAGCGGGCCACAGAAACTTTTTGTATCCCCACTTCTTAGTTTTCAAAACGTGCTTTCTAAGTTCAATGCCGGTCAATAATTGGGTCCTTGTGAAACAAAGTAGCACGATCGCACATAGTTTAAGAACTACTCATAACCTCGGTTAAGCTTAAAGTAAATATGCTCTATAATTCCGTTTCTTGGCCAGGCAGCGTATTTACATGTCACCAATGAAGTGTCTTTTCTGTACCCAAGACAACCTCAATAAGCGAATTGGGTCGTGTGCTCGAGAGGGGTTGGGGAAACTCAAGTCGATGGGGAGTAAGGGCAGTCGCACGGCGCTATCAATAGCTTGCTCTCACATGTCCGGACCAGCACACGTCTGATAACAATCCCCCAAGTTTGCTAAATAAAGATAAAGCGCAAGCAGTTTGTGTCTGAACACAAGCAAGACGGGCAAAGTTGTCCGCTATTCGTCTTCTTGACAGCTTCGAGCATGTTCCCTGTGCACATAAGCTCCACCCACCGGCACCACCGCACTGTCCAAAATAGTTCTTGCTTCGTCAACACCGAGCCCCTTATTAGCAAACAGATGGCACAATGCACACGCTCCCAACACGCTGCTCCTGGTGCTCAGCTGATAAACTTTTCCACATTCTGTATCGACACTCCTTGCAGCAGATAAACCCTCAGCTGGTGCGGGCGCGAGGCGTTGTGCACTCACATGCTGCACACAACATGTACAGTATGTGTGCAAATAAGATAGCAATGGTGGGGGAGGGGAGAATGTACAGTATTGATATTTGCATCCTGAATTTGGCTTGCCAGTCTTTTTTTTCAGGGAGGAGGGGGGTAATTTTTCTGGAAAGTGTGAGCAGAAGTCACCGGTGGTCCTGTTTGTCTTGAAAGAAGACATCACAAAAGTTTCCCGGTCTGCAACAGTTTTGCTTTTGTTTTAGCTGTTGAGTCGAAGTCACAAACGCAATAACGGGCTGTTAATATTTTAACCAAAAGAACAATGACATTTTGGATGATGATATAAATATATATATACACACACACACACACACACAGGAGGCTACCTGAATTTTTACATCCCTAACCTTTGCGTGTTACGATATTGTATATATCATAGTGTGATATAAAACTGTCTACCATACGCTAGAGCCCTCTATTGTTTGTTGTAAGCAGTCTCCTTTCCATTACGACGTCCTTGTGCTTCTTTATGACTAATCGATTTACACTTAATCCCACTGTTAGGATTTCCATGAACGGGAGTGTACATGTATTCCAAGAGATTACGTTTGAATTTTTTTGTGTGACAAGGGGAACTTTAGACGGCCTACAGCTCAGAGTCATTGTGCGGCGTTTGTAACTGAAAAAACTTTGCTGCTCGGGACTATCGTGAACCGAGGACCTCATTTTGAAGTGGTGGTATTTCTGTTTCTTTTCCCCGTCACGTACTGTGCATGTCAAATACTGTTTATGGCCTCAAGAGACAGTTTATGCAAATGAGCACGGTAAGCAGTTACCTCATTTTCAGTTGTTTCCGAGAAGTCTCGGCATCATTTTGACAACCTGATCACTGATTTTTCAAAATCGTGTACCAAACTTTGAAAAACAATGACTATTTTTTGTGACCATCCCCTCAGCACTGCACGAAGAGAGCCTCCGCCATGCTGGAATCCGTCCTTTGCATACATTGAACACGAACAAACACATTCTCACTTTGTTAAGGGTGCTCCTTTTCTACTTCAGCATAGCAAGGCAAGCAGGAGCAGGTGGGCGGGGCTTCAGGTGCCCACGCCGCCCCCCCATGTTTTTCAGTCCCTTCTCTGGCCTATGAGGATCCCGACTACTGCAGCTGGCCCCCCTTTTCTCTGGCCAATCAGCTGATAGCATACCCCCCCCCCCACACACACACAACTTCCCTACTCTGTATAGGTTCTCTCTGCTGAGTGAGCAAAGCAGGCCTCGCTCTACTAACAGCTGAGAGGAAGGAAGAAAACAGTAAAAGAGTGCAAGGGAGGGTGCGATCCTGAGCGACGCTTTTAAAGGAGGTGCTGAGGGCACTATGTGAGGAAGAGATGAGGGGGTGAGGACGAGAGGACCAAGCATGTGAGGGGGCCTTTTGTGCTCGAGATGGTGTGCAGAGGCGCGAATGAGAGAAAGAAAGAAAGAGGGAAGGGGGGGAGTGAGAGAGAGAGGGAGAGAGAGACAGGCAAGGACGGGTGGGGAGGCTGAGAGTTGTTGATGGCTTTTTGAGTTGTGCATGTGTGTGTGTGTGTGTTACTCAGGGAGGAAAAACAAGGCTCGAAACAAGCAAGCGCGGCGACTCTCAACACTTCTGGAGGAAGTCGAGCAAAGTGGGGCAAAAAACGACCTGGAAAGCACCCTCATCCGACTAAAGAGAGGAAGCCGACGAGAAGCTTCGCCCGAGCCGAGGGTGAGTGTCACAAGTTCTCTTGCTGTCAACGTCGCTTAGACGTGGGGCAGCCTGTTAATTGCCCTAAAGTTGTCAAGCCCAGTTCGGTCCGCTCTCACAAAATGGCCACATGACAGAAAGACAAACAGGGGCTGGGGTGGGGGGGGGACGAGACCAAGTGGGATCCCGTGTCAAACAGCCTTCTCAGCAACTATGTCCTCACTGAGCCAGCTTAGTTGAGATGGCTGCGACTGCCCTGCCTGGCTATTGTTTGTGTGTGAGTCACCGTGTCACACGGAGCTTCACAAGTTTCAGTCACTCTTCTTTTTTTCTTTCGGCCACGTTATACCTTGCTTCCTGTCTGGTTTTCACCCATTGGCACACACGGACACACACACACACAGACGCACACAGTCAGCTGTCATTCCATCCCCCTTGTCCACGAGGTGACATCAGATTGCCAAACTGTACCAGAGCTCCTGCAATCCAATCGGCAGGTTGACGGCTAAGATCAGGACGGTCTCCGCTCGTGTTGGGTTTAAAGGTATGCACACGCGTGTTTGACAAGAGCTCAGCGTGACTCGGGGTGGGGTCTCGCTCTTCGCCGATGAGACAATCAGGAGGAATTTTTGGGACGATGGCAGCGGACTCGCGTACGGATGTAATCCCGCCTCGCCTCGGTCAAACCAAAGCACGGAGGAACACGTTGAGAAAGTACCGCGACACGTTGTGGACTATGTGGCGGGATGGAGAACTGAAGCGTGTAACACCTGTTGTCTCTGCGAAACCGTTTAAAACAAATCAAAACTTAAGTTCAACTTTTAGGTGAGCGTTTAGCGTAGCATCCAGCTGCGCACCAAACACATCTCTGGGCATTTGAATTCAGAAGTTGGAACGGGGCTGCACAACGGGCTGACAGGGGACACTAAGGTGACCCCCACACCTATTCAAAAAAAAAAACTGCTCACCAGTGACAGGATTGTGATTTCCTAGGAAGAGTGTCCAAGTTATCCTTTGAAAACGTTTGCTGGTAATCGTTGAAATACAATGTTGCTTATTGATTTTTGCTTCATCTATTTCGGAAATGTTTCAAGGTTTTCTTTCTTTTTCATTCATCAGTACCCAAAAAGGAATTAATTCTGTTTCAAAAAGTTTTGACAGCTCACATTTTCATTGATCAATAAAAGGCATACACAAAATGTCACAACTAAATGTCATGCTGTAGCTCCCCCCCCCCAAACAACAACAAAAAAATAATTTGTCACTTTTTTAATGTTTTTTTTTTTTTTTTTTTTTAAGGAGCATACCATTTTTTTTTCAGTGAAATATCCCTCTTTTCTATTGCAATTTACAAAACTCTACAGTAATTATCCAATCAAATAAAATGGCCATCTGGAGGCAGTTTAATACATGACTGAGACGATTACAATTGCTCAGTAAGTGCAGTAACTTTGGTCATTCTTTGCAGATGATAAAGAACACATGTCTCATATTATCTGTCCACATGTGTAGCTGCACTGTTTTTGTTCACGACTTAGTTGCTTAAAGCGCTATCGCACCCTAATACCTCTGCTGTTTGTCAGCATCTTGAAAAAGTCGAGCCGCTCTTATCTCAAGGCGTCACTATTTTAGCAGCATTTTACTTTTTTTTTTAATTCGCCCCCTGTGATTAATTACAGGGCTGGCAGGGATATTGGTTAGCACTTCTGCTCACAGTTCTGCCGTTCTGGGTTCGCTTTTGTCTCAGCCCTTCCTTTGTGGCGTTTGACTTATTTAATCACAGGACTCAACACTTCCTCTTGCAGTCTTTTAAGCGTTCACTGTGACAACCTCCCAAAAATCTACCAAAGAAATGTGCATACGTCCAAAAGTCCAAAGTCACAGTTTCATCTTGCTACATTGTGATCTCGATTTCGACTTTGATTAATTTTTCGGCGACACAAGAGATCCCATTTTGAATAGGCCACATTTTTCCACCTTAGTATTTGTCGCACGCGGCGTGTCGCTGTCGTGATGCGTTCACGTTGATCAAAGGTAGGGGGCACATTTCTGAAGATGGGTGCTGACTGTGAACTTTGGCCCACTCCTCTCCTCCATACATCTTCCTGAGGCTTAGCATAGCCGCACAAGTCACGTTTCTGTATCGGGTAGCCTTTTCTTGCATTCGTTTTCCCTGCCGTACTGGTATTTTGTCGCCACCATCGAGCAGAACCGTCTGCACTGTCCTCACTTGAACGTGTCATGTCAAACATATTGCAGCGTTTCATCTCGACCAGTGCCGCTGGAAATGACTTGTAGTATTTTTAGGGAGCATTTTCAGTCAAAAGGCTCCCGCTGCTCTGTCCAAATACTGACGCGGCAGTTACAATCATATAATTGTGAAATTACCAGCTTTGGGTTTGCAGCCGTGGTTCCTCATGAGACGCAGACCATATTGTTCTTATTTCCGAAAGGCTCATTTTCTTTTTTTGTTTTCATCATTCAAGAGGGATTGTTTTGAAACTGACTGGTTAATTTCCCTTAGATAGTGATGCAAAACTGGATTAGTTGTTTTTCTTTTTTTTCCCCGTTCCAGTTGTCTTGTTCACGTCTGTGTCAACTGTTTTTTTATTTTAGTTATTTGTTTTATATTTCACTCATACTTGACTCCATTTCAACCACTCCTCTTGTGCTTCCCCTTCCTTTGCGAATGCCAAAAAGCAAAGTAAGCCACGACCCATGTGACTTAATCTATTAGCCATGTATGCAACACAGCTGATTAGTCTGCCAGATACCGTTTTGCAGCTTCTGTCCTACAAAGTGCGTCAGGCTCAACAGTGCACATTGTATTTTCTGCAAGCAAGAGTGTTAATTCTTTTTTTTGGAAGGGGTTGGGGGGGGGGGTTGACATCATGTTTCAATCCAAATTTTTGTTGTAAACCACTCTCTGAGCAGCCCAGGACTCGCCTCAGGTGAACCTCCTGTTTTTTTTTTTCCTCCTCAGCTGGCAGGCTGACATTTCATCGGCTGCCAAGGTGCTTCTTTATCGAGTTCAAAATAGGGTCAGAAAATAAAATGGGACCCAGCACCAGGCCTTTGGGTGCTCCAATGAGCTCTGACACAGACAACGACTATTAATACTCCCGGGCCGACGCTTGGTCCTCTCTCGCTCTTCTGCCCATCCCCCCCACGCAGCCTTCTGCCGACCCTTTTGGGGCCTTCGCCTCAGGGGAGCTCACCTGCCAGGACAGGAGATAGATATGTTTTGTCTTTTCATTCGCTAACTGGAATTGTGTAAAATCATTCTTTGGTGCTTCCTGACCTACGCGTAGCCATTGAATCAACAATCATTTTTATTTTTTATTTTTTTAACATTTCACAATGGGTGGTGCCTAAACTTCAGCCAGATTCTGTTCAGATGAAGCCTCAGATGGGGGGGGGGGGGGGGGGGCGACTGAGTGCTCTACCTCCACTCCCCAAAGGAAGGCACTTTAATACTGCCATATGTCATGTGAGTAATTGCAGGTGACAAAATGTTCACCCCTCGCTTTTTGTGTCTTAGTGATTCATTGTGTGTGTGTGTGTGTGTGTGTGTGTGTGTGTGTGTGTGTGTGTGTGTGTGTGTGTGTACCCGCTACTATATCTCTCCTATTTGCCAAACATTTCATCCCTTTGAGGAATACAAATCTACACTTTTTGACAGCAAATTAGGATCTGTTAACTTATTCCTACATTTGTTTTTCTTCTGCGATCTTTCCACCAAGCAGCCTTGTGCAGTTTTACCTCAGGACAGTTAGCGGTTTTTTTGTTTTTGTTTTTGTTTTTTTTAAATCCCTGATCAGCTCCAATATCCTGATTGTGTAATTAAACAAGGAGAACATTTGAACTTTTTCCAGAAAAGTGAGCAAGTGTTGTAAAAGCCCAAACCAGTCAAATTTGCCATATTTCATTATCACCCAAAAGTAGGGATGCAAATCAAAACCGTTTTTTTAAAACCATTTCCAATTCCCAGCAATCGTTATTAGCCTGTCTGACGACGATTCCGCTTATTGATTGATTCCTTACATTGTAAATGATTGATGACTTCTGTGCGATATAGCCATATATATTGTACAAAATGTATGAGAGAGATAGATATATGCCCCTCAGTCTTTTTGAGAATTATTTTAGATTTTCCTCTCCTCTTCTGAATGATCAATTAGCGTCATTTCTGCCACTTCCAGCTTCCCATGAAAGAAATGGGTCAAAGAGGGGTGGAACTACACCATGACATTTGTTTTCCTCTTAGTTATTTTTTTAACTTGGATGTGAAATGTTTCAGTTCTTTGACAATTAGACAAACACCTCTGTTGACATTTTTGTCTCCATGAGAAGTCGAGTGACAAGAGACGGCTGCGATTTGACTCATGCTTGCAAATATTTTCTTGGCGCAGCATCTTCACCAAACAAAGTTCAGTCCCAGACACAGCCTTTCCCCCAGCCCCCCCCCCCCCCTGACCCCTCAACACAGACACCTCCGCTACTCCCTCTGCTTTTCTTCTTCCTCTTTGTGGTCAAGTACAAAGGAACCGTTATCCTTGGGCTACTTGTTGCCACAGCAACATTTCACTGTCACCCCCCCCCCCAACACCAGTACATTCCCAAGTTCTGGTCCAAGTGGGTCAGGCATGCCTCGATAGGCTTCATCTCAGTTTGTTCCCCTTTAGCAGCAGAGATCAATTTTCTTATGACAGTGTTGGGGCACCGAGCTCGGAATGCTCTACATTTTATATATGTATTAGGGTGGACCATTCGCGGATAATCACGTTAGCTGAATGGGTTACCAGAGTGGTTGCTTAACTTCCTATAGGTGGCGTCACGTTGGCCTACCTCAGGCAGCAAAGCAGTCGAGACGCAACTGCGTCCAAGTGACTCTGTTGTTTTTGTGTCTTCAGGGATTCGGGTTGTTATGACCCTGTCATGATGTCACAGGCATTCTGCAAACCACGCCCAGGTGACGAAGGCGGCCGTGCGTGGCTGTCGGCCAATCACAGATGGAGTCCCACTAGAGTCACTTCTGGCTCGGGAGGAACTTCACTCAGGAGCCTGATGCAACACTGACGTATCACTTTGGTAGGTGTTCGATTCAGGATGATTTCCAAACATCCGGAAATATTTGCAGCCAATTGCATGGCGAGATGTTTCTTATCGTTTCGAGCGCTTCCGCTTCTTCTACTGTCGACTCATTTCAAAATTTTTGAATGTCTTTCCATGGCAGATGATTTGGTGGTAGACATGCTGCTTTTATAGAGCCATTTTTCCCCCCGGATACAACTTCCAGATGCTGTGTGTCTCCGTGGGACACATTAGAGAAGGGCAGGCACAGAGGTGAGTTGTGATAGGTTTTAAGTTTTTTGTTTTCCTTCACTATGTTCATTCATACTGGCACGTTTTGAGTCAAAGTACATTTTTGTTGGATGTGTAAAATCTGTCTGGGATGACAGAAAATGAGGAAAGAAGTTCAGAGACTTTGGAAAAGTATTATTTAAAACGCTCTCATTTTCATTCAAAACACCAAACATACGGACTGAAATAGAATGCCCATTCAGTTTTGACGTGAATTAAAATTGAGAGTTGAATAAAAACAAAACGTGATACCTGTCATTAAATATATCGAATAAGGAAATCAGGAGGGGGATGAGAACAATTTATTTTAAACAATATTAGAGCTACGCACTTTGAGCATGAGCAAGAATGACCAAATACTGATAAGGGAAGCCCTACATAGTAAAAATAGCAATACTGTGAAAAAAAAAAAAAAGATTTACAAATGATATCAAGAGTATTGTTAAGGTAGCAACATTTACGCAGTTAACAGATCGCTTCCTGTAAATCACTCTTATTCTGAAAGACAAACGACCACTTCCGGTAGTCGAAGTATCTTTGAGGTTGATACATGTAACTTGGACTTGTCAGCGTCGCATAAAATAATCAAATCCTGCATTTCATTGTCATTTTAGGTACACAACCGAAGGAAATTGATAAAAGGGGACTGCTCTCGACTGAGTCGCACGCGCGCTGTTTCAACCCACCGTGACGTCAATGCCCATGTACAAATCACGTAAATTGCTTCACTTGAGTACAGATAAAAGTAATCAATACTAAGGGCACCTACGTTATCGAGATGAACGCATTTTCCCTCACAGTGAATAACAACAACAGGCTATCGGTGTCTCGTTGGCATGGAGATAAGTCCGGGCGTCCACACGCTGACCACCGGTTAGAAAAGTTTGGGACTTTTCATGATAGTTTTAATTTCGTTTTGACTTTTGTTGTTCAACATCAGTTAGTTTCAATTCGTTTTTAGGACAGGATTTTAAAATTAATTTTGGAAATGCTTCATGTTTAGTATGTATTAGTTTTAATAGTGGAATTAAAAAAAAAACATGTATGGTATTTGTCGAGTGGAACATTAAAAAAAAAAAGGTCAAAGGAGTATTGTGGAGAATAGTAAACACTAATCCTGAAATGACTGACTTTCCTTCTTCTGCGTACAGCAACACCCAAATAAAACTTAATTGTGTTTTTAACAGGATTTTTGTTTTGATTAACATTTTTTGTTCACTATAATAACCTGGATGCTGACCCAACCAGAACACATGGTGAAAGGAAACCTTTCCACATAGACCACGAATGGGCTGGAATGAATTTTGGTCGGAGAATTTCCAGAATAATGCTTCTCTTCATTGAACATCTTCGAAATACTAATGCAAACGCGTGTGTTCCCGTCAGGGGCTGTGCGACTCATCTTGCTGATTCACGCTGGACGGCAGTCACAAAACGGGAACTATAGGACTTGACGGTTCTGTGGAACCTCCTTTTCTGGCTCGCGGTGCTCGTTGAGGACCCCGTTGCGCTCACATAAGCCAGGACTGCCATCTTCCAGACATAGGAAACATGCGGCACATCCATGTGGAGCTTTCTCACAAAAAAGCTCCACTCGAGCTTCCAGCCCAGGAGGGGGACCTGCCTCCTCCTACGGCGCCTGCACTGGGCCCGGACTCGGGGGTGAGACCGGGGGCTGCCCGGCACTTTGACCAAGAGGACTTGCGACATCAAAAGGTCTATCAGCTCTCCATTTTCTCACAGTTAGGTGGATTCGCTACCTCCACAGAGTCCCACAACGATGCCCAAACGAGGCCGGTTCGCGTGGGCGTGAAACGGGGGCTCGAGGAGCCCCAGTTGACTCACAAGCGCCCCCATGTGGCGGACTGCTCTGACATAGATGTACTGGAGGGAGGAGTGCTGTGTGGGCCCGCTCCGATGCCCGCGGTGTTGATGGGCTTAGTCAGGAGCTCTGGCGGTTGCGGTTCTCTCTATTCCTGCACACAAATGGAGCACAGAGACTCTGAGGCCGGGTCGTTGCCCAGATCCCCCCCACTGTCCCCGAACCACAACCCCTCCCGTCGGCCAGCTCAGCACAATCACGACAGGCCCGTCCCCGATGCGTTCGCTCCCCTCTCGCCAAAATCCCCCCCGATGTGTGACCCTTCTCTGGGAATCTCAGCCAGACCCGAAGCGCCGAACGGGGGGCGCACCCCCACCTATTCCATAGGAAGCCCTGGACATGAGAGTTGTAGCAATGGCACAGCCGGAGGCCTGCCCAGCCCCCATATGTATGACATGCCCACATACGAGCCCCCGAGCCCCGCCAGTCCCACAAGCCCCCCGGGCCCCTTCTCCCCCCCACACCACACAGAACTCCAAGAACCAGGAGAGGCCACCGAATGGGACGTCGGGCTGGAATCCTCCCCGCCTGAGCGAAGCGCCACCCAGACCGCTTCTTCCTCGAATGGCCTGGCTTCGTGGGAGAAGACTCCCAGCAGCAACGGCCACCGTTTGTCAGCAGCGGGCCACTGGCCGGCGAAGAAGAGGTTGCTGTCCCCGAGCGAAACCGCCGAGTCGTGCTCGGAAGACGAGGGGCCGTCGACCTCCAAGAGGAGCAGGCTCTCGTTGCTGGCTCCGGGGCTGGGATCATGTCGTAGCACTGATGCTAAAGCTGCTCCTTACTGGAACCACCTTCTTCCTTCTAAGGTTAGCGTTACGCTCCCGCACACAGAAGTGCTACATTGGATTCATAGTCCTCATTTGGGTTCAGGGATTCAAAGTTAGTGATGGAAGCGGTTATTGGAAAACGAGGTTATGGCATTTTGTTTTTTCCCCTCATATGAGAAGTCACTTTTAATACAGTAGAACTTGTTAGCACAGGTGTCACACTCTAAAGGTCTGCGGGTCAGATCTTTCATTATAGTGAACAAAAACTAACAAAGTAACAATAGCTAAAGTTTGCAAATATCTGGCTACTTCAAAATAAATTTCGCCTGCTTGTGATATTAGTCATGTTGGGCTATTCGAACTGTCGAAGAAATAAGGAGTTTGCGGTACAGTCAGGAAGCATTAAAAACAAAATGAGAAGCAGGGACAGGGAAGGGGGAAAAAAAACAAACAAACAAACAATTAATCAAAAATGACAGATTACCGTGCCTGTCCAGAACAGCGCGAGTATCTCCAGAATGAAGCCCATTGACGTGCTCGGCGTCCATTGTTCCAGATCGAGTGAGCTTGTACCGCGTACAGAAATACAAACAAAGGCGCATGCACAGGCATCCTCTCGTACAACAGTTATGGAAGTGAATGTGTGTGAACACAAGGAAGACCAGAAAGAGCTTTGAATGTAGGTTGCTTCTGGTGGTGTGATGGGATTAGAATAGAGTTCACAGGTCAATAAGTGGTGTGAGGCGATTGAAAGGGTGGTGGGGGGCGGAGCAAAGGCAGCCTACAGATGAATGAGTAGAAAGGAGCAAGGTTGAAAGTGATGACATCATTGTCATCGTGGGCCGTTTGGATCTTTGGCTTTGAATACCGTAATGACGATGTGTGGTGGAACGAAGTGATAAGGCTAAAATGGCAAAGTGTGGCGACCAGGACAAGAAAGAGCCGACGTTCCGAATGGCGACCGATGACGTAGACGTCGGGTGTCACCTGACAGCTGGGTGACCTTAATGATGAATGGCGTTGCGGTAAGCGTTTTTTGAAGTTACACGGTGACAGTAACGGCCAGGAAGAGCTCAATGACGGTGACCAGGTACTCCCCACAGGACGACTTTGTCATTTTGCCAGGTGGACAATTCAGGGGTGTCAAGCTTGTTTTCATAAGTTCGGGTTGCCCCAGGAGGCCGGCTGGACCGTGGGTGTTTGACTGCATGAGGAAAGACGGAATGTCCAAAGTTTGGGATGATTTCAAATGTAATAAAAGAAGCTCAAGTGCAATGTGCCGATTGCAAAAGCACAACAGGCTTAAATTACACAACCGCGCACGTCTACGGTAAAAAAAAGTTAGCATTGTTAGCTAACTTAAGCTGTATTAAACCGTCGCTATTTGGAACGACTCCAGTGAGACACAACAACCGCTGCTGCACTTTCAGTCATTCATTCTGTTGAACTAACGGCAACAGAATTCCGTAAACAAAAGCACATTCATCGGCGATGGCCTCAACTGACGCTGTCACTCAACACGCAGGTTTAGCCAGTTGACAGCCAGTCAAAATCTGAATTCGCACTCACTGACTTCCACATCCCTGAACAGGCCTGTCTGCTTTGTTTGAGGCACACAGACATTCACCGTTACAGATGCTACGGCGTAGAATTGGAGAATGATGGCCACGAGAGAATAGAAATAATACTAGCAATAAGCATCGGGTTGCTACCTAGCAATTTTTTTTTTGTCTGTTGAGGGCGTGGTCTGGAACGTAACCCCCGCGATAAACGAGTATTCTATGCAAACCACGGTAGCATTTCTTATTGCGTGTGGAAACGCTTGTAATCGCCCTCTTATATCGCGTACTAATTTGTTTGAGAAATATTATGGCAACATTTTTGTGGGGCCGCATAAGTATGTGGAGGGCCCGAGCTGTCCCGTGGGCCTTGAGTTTGACACCTGCAATGTACATGGAGTATGTTACTATTGTTGTTGAAATCCAGACGCTTCCTGAAAATATTCCCCAACTTGTTGGCAGGACTCAATTGCCTGACTAAAATGCGGATGTTTTTTTTTTTTTTTTTTTTAATTGATTTTTCAAGCAGGCAAACAACTAAATGCATGTTTCATGCCTATTTCATGGTTTTTAATTTTGATATTATGATACTTTGGGGAAAGGAATTTTCACATTTGTGTCTTTCATGTAAGTGTTAATAAATACATTCAATGAGCAAAATGAACTATCCCCACCCCCCCCCATTGTTGTTTTTAGTGTGCCACAGACTGTACGAGATCAGGGAGACGACTGAAAAGTGGCCCACGTGTAAAAAGGTGAGTATGCGTTATTGTATACACGTCAACGTACAAACGAATTGAGCGTGAATCACCTCTGTGCCTGTAACGAAATGTGAATCGGATTAAGTGGAGAATGGATGAACATAATTTCACATTAAAAAAAATAGTGTGACATGTTCCAAAATGAATCAATCCACACTTATGTACCACTGACATGTTTGTGCGCTCGTGTTCAGCCGGCAGCTGCGCAGCGGTAGACATGCGGACAGCAGAACCTTGGCCCGTTCCAGCTGGCCCTCTTCTTCCATCAGCAGATCACTATTAGGAAACTTTGAGGTATAAAAACAAATGCTAACAGCTAACTGGGCTTGTTCTCCGACATTGCAATTAGACCCTTGACTAAGGAGTCCGTTCAAATGTAGAAAGTGCAATATCAAAATTGGACCTAAATAAATGATTAAAAAGCTGTCATGCAACAGTCTTGAATTTGGAAAGTGAAATACAACCGAACTGTGTTTTGGCAGTGATTCTTTTGGTGGACACGTAGTGTCGATCATGACCGCATTCCTTTTTTTTCCGTGTCCTAGGAGTCCATGCTAAAGGGTCGCTTCTCGCCATCGGGCCGCATCGAAGGCTTCACGGCGGAAATCGGCGCCAGCGGCTCCTACTGCCCGCAGCACGTCACGTTGCCCGTGCAGGTTACGTACTACGACATCTCCGAGCACAGTGCCCCCTCGCCCTTCCTGGTCAGTAAAAACACCAGCGCTTCATGTACATTTAAATCTGGTTGACGTCTGCTTCTCACTTTGGAACAAAAAGTGTCTGAGCATGCGTTGCTGACATGCTTGTGTTCACTCATTTGTATCATCTCGTTGGTCACATAATACTTCAAAAATGTTCTGATCACGCAAGTCTGTTCTTTGAGGGTTTATCTGTTCCAGACTTTTAGTTGAAGCCCAACCAGGACAGATCATTTGAAATTGAGGCCCAGGGGCTCTGGGGTTCACTGGCTCTGGAACTCCTTAAAACATGAAAAGCCTCCTCTTTTTTTGGATTTAAATTGAGAGTTTTTGCTATAAATTTTCAACACAAATTTTATTTACAATAAAGCACCCCTTCATTGCAAGTTCCAGGTTTGCGGTGTAGGTGTTGCGCTGATTTATTTATTTATTTTTTGCCGTCCTTTTTTCCTACTGCCTCCGGTTAGATCTGGGGTGTAATTCTACTCAGGACCACTAGATGGAAGTACACTGTTATTTGACACAAAATTTGAAAACAAAAGTGTTTCAGCCCAGTCTTGTTTTTAATGGAGAAAATTAGATGTCAAATCCTCTTTAGTCCTGCTTTTTACGCCTACAGTAAGCAGCGGCTTGAGGTTCATTTGGGATTTTCCAGATGTTTGTTCATGTATGCAACACGAAGACTCGAGGCTAACTCTTTTTACTTGGAGCACCGTGGCAACTAACCTAACATGAAAATTCCAAGACACGCACTGTAAATCAGCCGAAGTGTGCAGCAGATGTTTGTCAGCAACAATAAAACAGTCAATTAAAAAAAATAAATGAACTGGTTGCATATGTGCGAGTAGGTGAAATTTCAGGGTTAAAATGCTTCCATTTTGCGGCAGTCTGGAGCCTTGAACACGTTTGTTTGGGGCAAACCTGTTTCAAGAGTGGGGCCATAAGTCAATTTTTTTTGGCAGCTTATAAAGAAATATGTGCAGCGCTTTGGGACATGTGGTTCGCATGTTTGGCTCACAGCTGTGAATTTCTGACTTCCAATCTTGGCTCAGGCCCTTCTTGTGTGGAATTTGCAAGTTAGTCTGGCTTCCTCCGACATTCCACATCGCAGAAGGAGTCATGTTAGGTTCATTGAAGATTCTGTCATTTGCCTCAAAGTGTGCATGGGATCGGCAGCAGTTGATCCACAACTCCAATGAGGAAAAGGCGTTTCAGAAAATGGATGCAGGGAATAAAATGTATCCAACTGTGCATGTATGTCACAAATGACAGAGGCCCTCTCTCGTTGTCTGTCACAGGGTTTGATATCCTTGGAGCAGCTTGGAAAGAAAGGATACAGCATACCCAAAGCGGGGACCATTCAAGTGGTTGGTTCATCGTGTTTATTTGAAAAAAGAAAATCCCATTTATCCATTCAAGCCCCCCCGCCCCCACTCAAATGCAACAAAGATTTTTTTGCAAAGTATTTTTGTTAAATGTTGATTGGCAGCTTGTACATTATGATTAATTTATGAAAGGCACCTTCTCGTTTGCGCCATTTGGCCACCAGGGGGAGGTATTATACAGTCAGACTGACACGAACGAAGAATTTCACTGCTGCCTTTGAGTCAGTAAACTGCAATAAGATTTGTTTTGTTGTCTTTAGCTGAGGCGATAGAATATGTGCCTGTGAGTATTGTTAAATTGAAAACTCAAAAAAATGTTGGAAAACACTGCACTCGATTCAGAGCATGATTTTTACTTTCATTTGGAAACGACCCTTCCGTAAAACCTGAAACCGCTCTGTGTTCATTTTCATTCCCCTTGCAGACCTTATTTAATCCCAACAAAACTGTGGTAAAGATGTTCCTGGTGACCTACAACTTTGACGACATGCCTACCAATCACATGACGTTCCTGCGTCATCGCATCTTCCTGATGCCTGTCGAGGAGGAGGGAGACGGCAAGAAACACGGATCGGCAGGGAGCGCGCCGCTAGACGGCAGGAAGATTCTCTGCTACCTGATACATCTCAGGTAGGAGTTCAAAATCAACATTTCGAAAGTAGTTGTCCGTGACGACGGTGTGACACCCTCATCACGAGTGCACCGTTAACATTTCGTGTTGTAATAACGCTCCATTTCGAATAATGTGCTTTTCTGGGGTAACAATGCGTGCGGTGGTTTATTTTGGCTCAAATTAAATTCACAAAATGGGACCAGAGATGGCAAAAATCATGTAACTCATGTACTTTTGTCAAGTCACTATGACTATTTTAACAAATATGACAAAAACTGTTTTTTAAAAATATTTTTCGTGCAAACTCCCATTATTGAAATTGGTTTCAGCAGTGCAACACAACACTGAAGCATTTTGACACATTTTTAAGCGCTGTGTACCACAAAAATTTGGTTCCAGGTCAGTAAGCACAAGAATTAATATATAAAGCGCACCGGATTGTAAAGTGCTCTGTTGATTTTTGATGAAAGGATTTTCAGTGCGCCTTATAGTCTGAAAAGTACGCGATATTTTCAGTACTGTACAGTATAGTATTTGTAAATATTATCTCAGGGAAAGCCCACACGTTTCACTTTACAGTGGGGGTGACCAATCACGGTTGTGTTTAAAATAAATGGACTCGGTTCAAAATGCTTTGCTATTCGGTGCTATATACGCTAGCTGATGGTGGGACTGAAATTCCTTTGTTGTGTTTTTTTCTGTTGTTGCCAACTCAGATTCCACAGCTCCAAATCTGGGAAGATCTACTTGCACAATGATATCCGGCTGCTATTCTCCCGCAAGCCCGTGGAAGTGGACACGGGGATCCCTTACGAACTGAAATCTTTCACCGAGGTGCCAAGTAACCCCAAATACTCCCCCCGTGTGTGACCTTCCTGCGCTTCCTAAAGAAGAGGGAGCCAAACAGACTGGATTTGACAAGGACAGAAAAACAGACGGACAGACTGGATTAGGGAAGCCAAACGCCTACAGGACTCGCTCTTGATCCAGCGCGGGTCAAAAGTCTGTACAGAGAAATGCACAAACACTGACTCACACACACACACACACACACACATACATAAACACCGCTGACTGAATTCAGACTTCACACGTCCGGTGGCGACTCATGTTTAACTTGCATGCCTTGTGACTTCAACACCTGAGTTTTCCTCGAGTGCCGTACTTATCACACTGTCCTTCACTCTGCCCGCACACGTAGCACAAAAAGTCATTTTGCTCTTCACGAAAGGGTGATTGAATTGAAAGGCAGGGTGCGGTGGATAGACACTAAAGAGAAAGTGTGAGTGAGGATATCGGTCAGTCGTGTAAGAAGACCCCAATGTTATTTGACACTTCGAATCAACAAAAACACATCAACTTCCTGTTATGTGGCCAGACTGAGGGACAATGTGCTATTTGTTTTTTTTTGTTTTTTTTTTTAAAGATTTTATTTTTTTAGATTCTGTTCGGAGCAGTCTGATGTCGGAGCAGAAGAATGAAAATGTGTAGTATTTTTTAATTTATGGATTTTGTTTTTTTTTTCGCAAAATGTCTTAAGAAGCAATATGCTGCACAAAAGTAGAGTGTGTTCTTTAAGCCAGATGACCTTTCGCTCTCTGGGAGGGGGCGGGACTTGAGGGAGGGAGGGAGGGGCGGGGGGGGATTTAATGACAGGGGGGAAAGTATATGTACATATGAATAAACTTTGCGACTGTCAAGAACAACCCGTTTGTTGAGCCTTTTCTTTTTACCAATACGGTGGTGCCTTGAGATACTGTCGATTGACGTACACTAGCTTAATTATAACACATACAGTAATGGGAAATGTCATAGACATGCTAATGAATAGCATAAGCTATTCCTTTTGAATATGAAAGGCGGCGCAACGCATAGACAGATGTCACAATACTCGCAGGCATGTATTCTTTATCTTCCACCAAGAATTATATTTATTTAGATTTGAGAGGATGCTAGTGCATACTTATTCATCCAACCATTAGCAATAATAATATTCATCAAATGTGTTTTGATAAAAAGATTATTCACATTAAAAAAAAAAGGTCAAGTGACCAAACTCCAATTTTTTTTTTTGTGCATTTTTATACAGGAAGTGCTTGTTTCTTGACAGTCTGTGTTGTGATCTATATGACATCAAGCAGCATCTGGGCGGCACCGTCGATGGCCTGGCTCATGACAGACACGAGGAGATGCAATTGGGCCATGGTGGGGGGTGTTCCCGGCGACATAGCTTGGACGACGGAAGTGTCCCTCAAACCAGGTAAGGTGCCCATGGTGACTTCGAGTGGCGCCCAGATGACGTGTCTGTAGTAAACAAATGAGAATGCATTGAGAAAAAAAAATGCTGCACACAGTGACGGTGCACTAGGTGACAATGTCAGCAAAAATGCATTGAAAAAAAAAAATGCTGTACACTGAGTGAGGGTGCACTAGGTGACAATGTCAGCCTTAGGTTTTTTTTTTTTTTTTTGCCTATGAGCTGGAATAAAATGCATTGAAAAAAAATGCTGCACACTGAGTGACGGTGCACTTGGTGACAATGTCAGCCTTAGGTTTTTTTTTTTTTTGTCTATGAGCTGGAATACAAAGTCAAGGAATTTGTTGGATTTAAGTACAAATACCAGAAAGAGCGACACTGGTGTATTTATTTTCCTGCAGCACCCCATAAAAAAAACAAACAAAAAAGCAATGTAATGACGCCTGTGATTTTGATTGATTGAGATCTTGAGGGCTTCCTCCCAAATTCCCAAAACATGCATCATGCATGTTAGGCTCATTGAAAACTCTTAAATCAAGGTCCCTCAATCATTGAGTCTTCCTTCCTTCCTTCCTTACCTGAATTTACTTGGGGAGCCCACGGGGTTCAAAAACGCTCGGTCCAGCAGCATGAGCTGGTCATTAATCTTTCGTACCTTCAGTGGCCTGAAAGAAGAAACGGAAATAAGTGTTGCCTTTGCATGTGGGAGAGCATGTATTTGTGTGTGTGTGTGTGTGTGTGTGGGGGGGGGGGGGTAATGTGCGTATCTGAGTATTACGTTTCATTTGCCAGGTCTGAGCTTCGAATGACTCGGTCTAAGTTGGAAGCCGCACTGCGGAAGTTGGCCACTGCGCGTTTGATTGGTTCTGGAAAGAGACAGAAGTGCCAAGTCAACAATTTCAACAATTTTGATGAAAACGGCCTTTTGAGAACTTGACAAGAATTTTGGATTGACCGTGTGGGACATGAAATTCCTTACCCATGGAGATATTCTGAGCAAGCAGGTAGTCTTCATACACCTGCAAAGCCATGTGAAGGTAGCCCTCAAGAGTCTCCGCGTAGTCGCTACAGTTCAACGGCAACACCAGACTGTCGGCCAGACGCACCAGGACGCTCCCGGCGGTTTTGCCGACGGCCTGGTGGATGTAGAACCCTGAGAAGAGCGTGGGGCAGATTGACTTGTTAAGAACGCCCCACCGAATGACCGAAATCGGCAGAACACGACTCAACTGGACAACACAGAGAAAAATAGACCCGGACACCCAGGCGCTAAATAAAAGGCTGAGTCCATTCAGAAAAGGCACTTGTGTGTTTGCGTGACCGAGACTCTCCATGCTTCGCTTTATCATCTACCGGTATATATATCATCGCTGAACAGTGAAAAACACGTCTATTTTTTTTTCAATTGTCACATTAAAACTCAGGCACCCCATTAACGTACAAAAATTTAAAAATGACAAAAATGACTGAACATGTTTTTCACAGCACAGCGATATTTATTTCTAAATTATAATTATAATTAAGAACTGCAGCACAACCAAAGGCCATCATTCGGCCACTCATGAACCACGCACAATGCGCGGCAGTTCTTGCGTCGCTCAGTGTGTGGTGGGCCTTCGTCACGAATCTGCCGGGAGCTCAAACACGGCCATCGCATCAAGTTGTGCGTTGGTGTTACGTGAAGCACAATAAATGAACGTGGTTCACTCACCAGGATCAATGAATTTGGAGGAATAGTCGAATGTGTCGTATGCAGTGTGATACGCCGGGTAAATCCGAGTTCTTGTTTTAGTCTGGGAAGAAAATAATTGTGAATCGGAAATATTTCAATTATATAGAGCTGGATGACATCTATAGATAGATCATTTATTGAATAATGTCCCATACCCTGTCAAAAGTGTATGAAATATCCAAGGAAGTGATTCCAAGGTAGTGCACGAAAGGGGCGTAATCACTTCCGGCTCCTGTCAAGAACCCCAGACTGACACAGAAACACAGACAATACATTAACCTGCGATGAGACATTTTAAAAATACTGTACAGAAAATACTTCATGGGTCAACTTTGCAGGAAAAAAAAAAGTGACTCCTGTACAAATTTGTATTTTGCAATACGGTATGTTTGAAAGTAAAGCGCAACACCTGGGAATGAGTCCGTAGACCGGGCTTGTTCTATTAGCATAGCGGATCCACTTGTCATACACAGACATGGAATCCACTCCAGGAGCCTTGACCTGTCCGACAGATGCACTTAGATCAGTCAAAACCACTCGACTGTGGTGTCTTTTTTTTTTTTTTTTTTCTTATCATTTTTAAATTCTAATTGCAACGTGCCAATTTTATTTGCACTCAAGCGGGAAGCTTCTTACCTTGAACGGCAACATCCACGTTGATATAAGCCACGGTGCGTTCGCTGAGCTTGGTGAGATATTGCTGTAAAACAAACCGAAAAAAAATATATAAAAATCGATTTGCTTCCATTTGGTCCAGCATGATTCAAATTATTACCTCCGTGTATTCACTGGACCCAATGAGACCAAACTCCTCGGCCCCCCAGCTCGCAAAGATAATGGACCGACGAGGCCTCCATTTGCCTGCGGCGCAAACGAACAAAAGCTTTCGCTCAGCGTTCAACTGAAAAATAATCGATTCGCTTCCATTTGGTCCAGCATGAGTCAAATTATTACCTCCGTGTATTCACTGGACCCAATGAGACCAAACTCCTCGGCCCCCCAGCTCGCAAAGATAATGGACCGACGAGGCCTCCATTTGCCTGCGGCGCAAACGAACAAAAGCTTTCGCTCAGCGTTCAACTGAAAAGACGAGTTTGAAGCTACCTCCTCACCTTGCTTGAGCGCCTTGCCGAGCACACGCGTCAGCTCCAGCATGACGGACGTCCCGCTGCCCGGGTCGATGGCGCCGTGAACCCAACTGTCCCGGTGGTTGCCGTAGATCACGTATCGGTCTGCGGAGAAAGACGGACAATTACGCACCAGGGATTCCTTGCCGCTATCGATAAAAATGAGTGGGGTGATTCATGGCCTCACCGGGCTCCACGCTGCCCCTGATGACTCCCATCACATTGGCGGAGTTCTTCACCTTACCGTAGTTGGATATGTCCAGCTTCACGTCACTACAAAACAGGACATTTGTAGTGTCGTTTTTCAGGTACCGTATTTTCCGCACTATAAGGCGCACCTGAAAGCTTTCAATTTTTTTCAAATGCCAACAGTGCGCCTTATAATCCGATGCACCTTATATATATCGATCAATATACTTATTTTAAATGTTCTGTAAAGTGCTTTGTTGCAGCTGCAGCGGTTGTGAAAGCGCTGTATAGATAAAGCTGTAGTGTATTGTATTGTATTCTCTTTAGTGTAGCTCCACCTAGTGGATGCATAATGTAACCGCAGCCACTATTGTAACTTCGATTCTCTGCACCTTAAAATGCAGTGCGCCCAACGTATGATACTCCCAAGCGCCTTATAGTGCGGAAAATACGTGAATTTTATCACAACAAAATCTTTTGGGAGCCACTTTGGAATCTTGGGGTAGGTTGTTTTTTTTTTTCTTTTTTTGGGGGTGGGGGGGGTTTAGTCAAAGTGCTGCAAGCGAATTCATTGATTCCTAACCAGGATGAATACAAATTTGCAAGTACTAAGCCAATGAACTTTTTTTGGGGATTGATAGTCCCTTTAATATAACTCATATTTTATTTATATACAGTTAGGTTTGGAGGTTTGGCCAGTACTCCAATTTGATGTTTCACAGTAACTGATGTTGCTTCAATATTGAAATGATTTTAAATTTCTTTTTTCCTGAGAAACTTTGGGCCATAATTTATGCAATGCGTATGTTGCTGCTATGGCAAAACTTCATATATTATTGCGTGACAAAACATTGAATAATAAAAACGTCTGAAAAAATATCTTTCAGGAAAAAAAGAAGCAGCTCTTGCCAAATAGGGCTCTTGTAAATCCGCGTACCTGTTGTTGAAAGCAGAAGAGGGTCGAAATCCTGGACCGCCAACGTTGTACGTACAGTTAAAAGCTCCTTGCCACGCCATTGGAGCTGGTCCTCCACCCAGCTCACTGAAACATCCAATGTAAACTTTTCAAACGTTTTTAAAACGTTTGAAAACAACATGCAGTGCTTCCTTGAGATTCAGGTCGAATCCGTTCCATGCTAGTGTGCTGCATTGTGTGTTAGCATTAAGCTAGCGGAGAGCAAACTCGTGTGATGGTTTGAAAACACATTCTCTTCATAATCCTCTTTGTTTGATGGTTATCTTGACAGGAAACCTCAACACCAACCAGATTACGAGCAAACTCGTGTGATGGTTTGAAAACACATATTCTCTTCATAATCCTCTTTGTTTGATGTTTATCTTGACAGGAAACCTCAACACCAACCAGATTAACGTGTAGGCATCCTCATAGCCGATGGGTTGAATGGGAATGGGAGGAATCCCAGTGATGTCGTCCTCTGGAATTCTGTAAGTGTTTTCTGCAAAATGGCGGAGAGTGGTGTGAACATCCTTTTGAAATGGTTTATCTTTGTGCACTTTGGATGTGGCCTGTTGTAAAAATCACAACTTCCCGTAGTAGGACAAAGAATAATAATAAAGCACAACCAATAAAAAGACACAATAGCGTTTTATGTTACTACCTCATACGTTACTTTCCACCTGGCTTACCTTTGGCAGCCAAATATGGAGTGAGCGGGTCGCCATAAATCGAGGAAAACGCGCCTCTCTCCGTGCCCGAAGGGGGCATGTACCAGGAATGCGGATATGTCTCGTTGTTGTCCGACATGAAGCCGTCGTTCATGTCCAATGGGTCCGTGTAGACCAGCACGCCGCGGATACCGTAGCGAGCCGCGTTGATGGCCTGGACGACACATGTTGAAGGACTTGTGGGGAAACACTCATTGATTGATTAACTGCGAGTTTGAATACAGTACTATAGACACACACACACACACACATTGATATATATGTGTGTGTCTCTCTGTATATGTGTATGTATGTATATGTTTTTGGATTTTATTGAACAGCAATGCTAATTAGCCACTTTACTCTTTTAAAAACAGGTTTCCAGTAAAACAAAATACAGTAAACTAGTGCCACTCACTTTGTCTGCTCTCCCAGTGCCACCGTATTTTGTGATGGCGATAGTGTCTTTGAGGTTTATTGTATCGTTCAGCAGCTGGTAGTCATGTACTGTCCCGTAGTTTGCATAGACAAGTTTGCCCTTAGAAGGAAGTGGGGGTGGGGGTGGGAGAAATGTGAGTCAATAACAATTTAAAAGTCTCAGAACCATGTGTTTTTACCTGCAATGCTACTGTAATTGGAATACTTGACATGAGGGTTGCGCGCAACAGACAATTTGATTCAGTTTGTTGCTGGACGATCACAACAATGACAATGCAGAATAATGTTCACATTCCATCCTTGCCGTTTCATCACATCAAATGATATGATCATTCCAAAGGTCATCACTTCCGATTGTAGGATAGTTCAAATTAGGTTATTACGTCAATTACAGAATACTGGTCTCCTTGGAATTTTTATTTGTCTAGTTTTATACGAGCTAAACATTTAACCAAGTCTCAAGTGACCTTGAGACTTTACTGTTATCGCCGTTTCCCTTCCGCTCAGTTTTTGACAATTTGCGAGCTCTCACTGTGTGTCGCTGAAATGTTGGACATATTTTGATCGGTTGTTACCTGTACTTGCCCTGCAGGAGAATACGCAGCATAGGGTTGAACCACAGCAGGATCCTCCTGGTCCGGAGTATAAGCCTTCTCTTTCTCTCTGACCGTGTGCAGCACGGCATTGGACGGGTTCACTGGAAAAAATAAGGATGAAATGAGAAACTGTAGCGAGGTTGTCGTTTGGTTTTGATGATAGCTTACCAACAGTGACCTTATTGGGCTTGTCGGGATCAGGAAAGGACAGGTAGACCATGTATTCCTCCCTCCACACCCGGTCCAGACCCGTTTCTGGATCCCTCCATCTGTTCAGCATCAACTGCACCGTTTGCTCGTCTCCGACTGTGGTGGCCATGTGAGGAGTTTTGCTCAACTCCCTGTAGAGTATAACGCAATCATTTTTTTTTCCCAGATGAATTTCCTATTATGGGTTAAAGCCTTTACCGAATACATAGATGGGCAATATCGGCAAGCATGAGGATATCAATTCTATTTGCATAGTGGCCGTAGTTTATCTTCACCTTGCCTGTTTTTGATTTGTTATATTGGAACAATGGCAAGAAGTGTTCAAGTTTTTCCAAGTCGCGTCACCGCGAACTGACCTGAGGTTTTCCTGAATGCGGCCGTTGTCCACCTGGGACAAAAGCTCCTCGAGCAGGTTCTCATCCACATCCTTGGACACATCCTTCACCCAGGCCGGTGCGGAGTCGCTACTTTTGTCGATGCCGTAGTGTCCGATCAGGATTCCGGCAGTCAGCGCAGCTGCAGCGCACAAAAGTCCAGTCACCACTGTCTTTATCATGTTTTTTTTTTAAGTTTTTAATTCGCTCAATTTAATTGAGCTCTTGGTGATGAATGCTGATTAAAAATACCCCAAAGAAAATATTTGCATCGTCCCAACTGATCCGTTCAACAGCAGGGACCTGATGACACTGGCCCACATGCTCACGATAACAGTTGGGCTGGTGTTTAAAGATGGGATGGACTTTATCCTTCCGTGTATACGTCAGTGTGTTGGCATTTGTGTGTGGGCTTTTATTTTTATTTAGTTTTGCCTCATTTAATACTCCTCTCCTTGGGCACCATTAGTTCCCACACTGTGAAGTGCAGAGGAAATTATGAAAAGACTTTATTGACACCTTGTATGACATGAATCTCTCTCTTTTTTTTTAATGAAGCATAGAATGAAAACAAAAATGAGAAATGAACAAAATAACTAAAGCTAAAGTTGAAAAAAACATTTCCATAAACAAAATTAAATGAATGTAAGTAACATAAGCTTACATGAAGAACAAGAGTCATAAAACTATTTTCATAATGAGAATGTCCTTTGCTTTCATCTTTGTCAATTCATTTCGCAGGTGAGAGTTTAAATGTATTTACTGTATGGCCATCAAAGAGGGAAGGTTGAAGAGTCGTTTGGGAACTGTAGCTTAATTAATTACACACAAAACCCGCCCCTCATGTAAACCATCAAACTCACGCTAAAATCTAAGGAAAACTAATCGAGTTTGAAAAACCAAAGTCAAAACAAAATTAAAAGCTAACTGTACTGAAAAATCCCAAACTATTCATGGTACCTATTGACTTATATGCTTTCTTTTCCTCATTCGTGTCACGGGTGCGTTGGAGCTTCTCCCAGTTGACACTGGGCAAGAGGCGGTTTTACCCTGGACTGGTCGCCAGCCAATCGCAGGGCACAAACAGATAAATAATCATTCACAAACACTTTCACAGTTATGGATAATTAAGCGTCTTCGGTGAACCAAACATGCATGTTTTAGTAGGGAGATGGAGAACCTCGTACAAAAAAAAAAAAAAAAACCTACTCAAGCAAGGGGAAAATATGCCAATTCCACACAGGAAGACCAGAAGTGAAACATCTAAAATGCAGGATTTCGAGATTGCAACCCAGAACCTCAGAACTGTAAAGGGTGGCACTCTAAATAAATAACCAACTGGTCAACCTGCTGCCCCTTCGAATTGTGCATATTTTTACCAGAGCGATGCTCCTCTCTTGTGGTAAGTAATGGTATTGCACAACATACTTTTCTTTTTCTTGCAATCTTGCAAAAAAAAAAAAAAACAACTAATGAGATGGCAAACCATCTTATAATTTAATTCTTCCAGCTCGAGGATCACTTGTGTCCTTTATGAGATATTTTATTATGAGATGCTTACACCAATGGATATAAAATAATAAATGGTATTGTTTCCTCAAGGTAAATATCGTAGAGTAACATAATGATTTTATGTCTCCAAGGCAAATTTCATATTTGAGAGTTCCGAGCGACGTCGTAGCCTAAAATATCCACTGCTTTTTATCGAATCTAAACTTTTTTTGTCCAACTTGCTCAAGATGATAAGGAAAAAGAGAGAGGCCATAAAACCCGACTGTAATTTCGAGAACATTGTAAAAGCAATTTCCACATAAATATAAACATATATTCTATTTCTATGTTAATTTTTTATGTATTGTAAGATTTAACTACTTTTATATCTTATTTACATGTAAATAAAAGTTTTTTTTTAATACTCTCGGATGTTTTTCTACTTTTACTCTGACAAAGTACCTCTACTTCCTCTTACCAGAGCAGTGCTACTCCCTGTGGTCACTACGGGTATTGCATACTCAAACCAATAAAAAAACAAAACACCACGCGTAACCAAGGAGAGACACACCGTGTGGTTTAAAACAATATTATTTTACCAATTTAAAGTGTTGGACTGCTCCGAGAAGACCGCCTTGGTGATATTTGATGAGAAGGACAAGTTGAATTCTCCCAGCGTGCATTTGCTCTGCCAGCCCATTCGCTTTCAGTTGCTCTTTCTACCTCCATTCAGTGGAGCGACTTCCCCCGAATCGAAACGGTAAACACAATTTCTTTTGACTCTGATTTAAGTGTATCTAAGTACTGTATCGTGATATAAAGAGTAATAAAGAGTTTGCGTTGTAGAACCTTATCGGTTACATTTGACAACGGCTTATTCATATGAATGCTGAACACTAAATACATGCGGAAATAGTTTACGCTTATCGCTTACGTCAAAAGACTAACATGAATGAAGCGAGCCTGCATGCAAAACTGCGTTAATCTTTGTGACTGTATTATTATTATTTTTTTGTCGTTAACATTTTGTGCCACTGCAACTGGCCACTCAGTCACACACAACTAACTCGAAGCAACAAGGAAACTTGAAATCATTGACGATGGGACGATCGTTCTAAAATTAGACATTCGTTTCTTTGACTAACTTAATTGATGAAAACATCGAGAAGGACATGTGAAAGTGCTTTCGTTATTATCATTACTACTCAAGTCATTTTTAGCAAAAAACTCCCAGTCATCCAGAATGCGGTAATCTGCCAAAGTTAAATCAAAGTGACTGGATTTTTATTGTTTATTGAACTTGGTTTTTTTGTTGAAATAAAATTGACCGAAATGACTTTTGCAATTGTGCTATAAGTTTTTGGTTTTTGTATGGCTGGGTTCCTTGGAGGTACTGGTAGATATTGAGATTATATTATATGATATTTATATTAATATCCTTGTTCTAATCCATTGATTCATTTACGCCACTCCTTTTCAGGGTCGAAGGGTCCTGGAGCTTTATCTGACCACGGGATCGACAACACCCTGGCCCCGTTTTGAGACAATTACCATTTACACACACATTCCTGAACCCAACCTCATTTCACCGTCAGGTAATTGATCTCAACTCTGCTCAAATTTTCAGCTCAGAGAAATTAAAAAAAAACATTACTCACTTTGTCTCATACTCATTTTAATGCTTAAAAGAAAAAAAAAAAGACCGGTAACGCATTTCTTGTGTGATTGTGGTTGATTTTTATTCCAACAGGTGGGTTCATGTTTCAACAGCCACCATGTTAGTGGCTCCTCTCTGCTTGGTGGTCTTTCTTTACCTCGGCCAGGCGTTGGGGGCACAGCTTCCACATTTAAACTGGCGTGACATCAACGGTGCTCAGCCGTTCCCCTGGCTTCATATGAGACTCCCCCAAACGGTCGTACCCGTGCACTACGACCTGACAATTCACCCCAACCTGACCACTCTGAGCTTCACCGGAGTCGTTCGCATCCAGCTGGATGTACTCGAAGAGACCAAAGCCATCATTTTACACGCAAAGCAGTTGAAGACCTTCAACGTGAAGCTCAAGACGTCCGAGGGGTTGAGGTCTCTTGAGGTTATCGAGAATTCTGTTTACCAGCAGCTTGCCCTGCTCTCACATGAGGTGATCCCCAAAGGGCGGGACTACGAGGTTCATATGGAGTTTGCCGCAAACCTCTCGGACAGCTTCCACGGTTTTTATAAGAGCAGCTACCGCACCAGCAGCGGGGAGCTCCGGTAAGCCTTAGTATATGGTTTTCAGTCCGTTTTTTGGGGTGGGGGGCTTTTGCAATGGTGATATGTCGGCCCTGACCAATACGGATCCTTTGAAACTGATATGGATTCCGATAATTGGCAGAATAATCCAATCCTAAATTACAGGCAGAACATTTGATTGTTTTATATACTTAGTCCATTAGGATTTGTTTAACTGTATGACAATTTTTTTTTTCCCCGCCACTTTTTTTTTGGGGGGGTGGATTCTTGACTGTGTTATCATTGTTATATTGTGTATTTTGTTTGTCGTCGTTATTAGGACTCTGGCATCGACGCAGTTTGAAGCCACGTTTGCTCGAACAGCCTTCCCTTGTTTTGATGAGCCCGCCTTCAAAGCCAACTTCACCATCTCCATTGTACGCGAGGCACGACATATCGCCATCTCCAATATGCCCAAGGTACTCTCCAATCATTTCGACTATTTCACCACTTACTATTTCGGATTTTTTTTTTTTTTTTAATGTGGACTGACAGCACTTGTTCCTCAAGTTTTGTCACTGCTGCTCTACAATATGTTGCTCTGTATCTGTTACCTCATAGATAAAAACGGTGGCGTTACCCGGAAATGTGTTTGAGGATCACTTTGCCACCACGGTAAAGATGAGCACGTATTTGGTCGCCTTCATCGTGTCTGACTTCCACTCCGTCAGCAAGACGACCCAACATGGCGTCAAGGTGAGGTGCCGTTCCAATCAGACTCAGCATTTTGCCGCAATCTTCAGAACTAACCAGAGAACGAGAACACGCTGGCATATTTTCCGTGACCATCTTCCCGTATATCCGAGTGCCGCGTATTAAACGGCCCCTAGGTTGCCATGCATGCGCGCACACCAGGACCACCAGCACAATGTCTATTGAATCGGAATAAAAAATGTGGCAAAAACTGTTTAATAATGTCACTGTATGTTTTGATGAAGTACAATTTTATACAGTCCTACTTTTCTCATAAAAAAAAAAAAAAAAGATCAAACATTTTTTTGTGGGCTGGGTGGTTGGAATTTCTACTTCAATTAAATTCAATGTGAAAAGATGATTTGAATGTTTCAGTTCAACAAATCTCCATTTACATCCTCGAATGTTAGCATCCCGACTTTAGCATTACGGAGAAACGCGTCGAGCAAAGACTGACGCATGCATCCCTGATTGCCGCCAGATTTCCGTCTACGCCGTAGCTGAGAAAATCAACCAGACGGACTTCGCGCTGGACGCCGCCGTGAAGCTGCTCGACTTTTACGACGACTACTTCAATATCCCTTACCCACTCCCCAAACAGGGTGAACACGTTGTTCGGTATTTGACAGTGGATGATGGGAATGTGACATGTCGTAACATTTCAGTCTCATATGCAAATCGGCGACATTGTTCATACCCTGGCCGCCTCAAACTTTTCGGATCAAATATAGTTGGTGTTTTAGGATTCAACAATCATCCACAAAAATTTAGACTCACAAGGAACTGGTCATCTTAGTCTCCTTGTTCTCTGTGGACTACTTGAAGTTTATTTTATCGCACGTAATGGGTTCGAGGAGTGGTTACTACAACTATTTGTTTATGTGTTTGTGTCTACGTCAACAGCAGTTAAATGGAAAGAATCATCTCATAACGCGTCGTACAGGGTGCCACCAAAAACTTGACATCATGTTGTCGTCTATTAATACAGCCGGGACTCATTTGATCTCCATTTTTAACAAGATGCGTCTCATTAAGCTAAATATCGTTCAACGCAAATGTAAATTCCTTGAAGGCTTTTATTTCCTCGGGGTGACGAATGACATTTATCATCTGTGAAATGGCATTCTGCGTCTTAGGAAATGCTTGAACAAAGCTCGCGTGAATACACACCAACTGAAAAGTGGATTTGGCGATGGTACAAAAATTCAAAAAGATAAAAACAAGCAGCGTGTCACAGGGAATACCCTTCAAGAACATGAAGTGAAGTTTTATCCGTCTGAAAATGGTGTTGGAATTTTGATCAATATTTTATGTTTCAGCATGAAGCCCGTTTCATCTTGTTTGCTTCGGAGTTACTTGGATATTGACATTTGAAACGATGCTGCCTGTGTGTAGGTGTTGTAAATAGGTTGTGCATTTCCTTTCCATGTCTGTTTGTGGTCCCCGCAGACCTTGCTGCTATTCCCGATTTCCAGTCGGGAGCGATGGAGAACTGGGGCCTGACCACCTACAGGGAGTCGGCCCTTCTCTTCCACCCCGAAAAATCCTCCGTCACTGACAAAGTGCACATCGCCAAGATTATCGCTCACGAGCTTGCGCACCAGGCAAGAGCGCCGCAATGCAAAACACATCGCAAGGAGACGTCACTTGTCACATCGACGGCGGATCCCAAAAAGTCGACGCACCCCTTGTTCAAATGCCAGTCATTTCAAAAACAATGAGACCAACCTTCCCACGTGCAGTTTCCCCATGCCTGCGTGGATTTTCTCCGGGTCCTCTGGTTTCCTCCCACATTCCAAAAACACGCACGGCAGCTTAATGGAAAGCTCTAAATTGTCTTTAGGTGTGACGGTGATTGGGAAGGGTTCTTTGTCTATATGTGCCCTGCGATTGGCTGGCAGTCACTTCAGGGTGTTGCCCGCCTGCGGCCCCAAGACGACTGGGATGGGCTCCAGCACCTCCGTGACCCCCGTGAGGATAAACGGATTAGAAAATGGAAGGGTGGATGGGTGGATCAACCATTTCAAAAATTTTTTACACCATTAACGTGACCTATTGACCTGTAGATCTCATTGGACTAGGGATGGGCTGATTACCGGTTTGATGCTTTACTGTGGTTTTGAGGCGTCACAGCTTAATAAGCATCAATACAGGATGACACCTGTAATGAGCTCTTCTTCTTTTTTTTTAAATTTTTTTTTTATTGTCTTCAATTAATTTTCTCCTCCATGCCTTCCTCCTCAGAGTGGGGAGGGCTGAGCAGCTATTTTTTTTTTTTTTTTTTGTCTTCAATTAATTTTCTCCTCCACGCCTTCCTCCTCAGAGTGGGGAGGGCTGAGCAGCTACGTGAGAAGGAAAGAGGGAGGAAGGAAAACAAAAGAAACACGGATGCCTGCGTTATTACTGTTGCATTGTCTTTAAAGAAGAAAAAAACGGTGCTAGCGGGAACTATGAGGAAATGAATAGCCCACGGGTCTGTTCTAAAATGACTCTTACAGAAGAAAAAAAAAACGGTGCTAGCGGGAACTATGAGTAAATGAATAGCCCACGGGTCTGTTCTAAAATGACTCACCAATGATAGGACTTTGTCACTCGGTAAGAAGAAATAAAACACAACAAAAAGGTTCACATTTAGTTACTTAAACTTCACATGGTTTGTCACTCGGTAAGCAGAAATAAAACACAACAAGAAGGTTCACATTTAGTTACTTAAACTTCACATGGTTTCTTCTGTAGCAAATGTTCTCTATTTTGTTTCAAAATAAAATTGCGTTCACATCTCACATCACAAAAAAACCTGGCATGTGATCAAGGGTGCAAACTTTTTCGATGCACCGTCCTGTTATATGAGAATCTCCGTTGTCTTCTGTGTGCAGTGGTTTGGCAACCTAGTGACGATGGAGTGGTGGAACGACTTGTGGCTCAACGAGGGTTTCGCCAAATTCATGGAGTTTATTGCTGTCAACGCCACCTACCCGCAGTTCCAAGTGGTGAGAGCGTGACACCCCCCCTCTCCCCCACACCCCCCAGCCCACCAGTGATTGATCCACCACGTAAAGCACACTTTACAACAGCAGTCCCCAACCTTTTTTTGCCCCGCGGACCGGTTTAACGTCAGACAATATTTTCAGGGACCGGCCTTTAAGGTGTGGCGGATAAATACAACAAAATAATATGATATGACCCGCATGAAAACTGGTATTTTTGAAACGCAATAATAAACACGAATCATGACACGAAGAACGTCCTATCTGGCCGCAACACTGCTCGCTATGGTTATGTTTACATGTGCCTTCAAAATGAGAGAGACCGCAAATACAAAGCACATGAAAAATACGACTCACCATCGCCGCATATTATGCAGAGCTGGCTTGCCGCGTGGGAATCTCCCATTGAGATAAAGACATATTTGAAATAGGACTCCTGATCATGTTGATTAAAAGTAGCCTTCTTTTTCTTGAAAGTCGTAGGCTCTTCTTCTGTCCCCTGGGTGGGCCTTTTCCCCCTTCCCAAAGAAACTTTCGCAAGACATTTGTTTTTCACTCGTTTTGCTAGCTCCTGGGTTTCATTTTAGCGGTCACCTATCACGTGACCGAGAAGCACGCCTTGACCCGCGTCAAGAGTGACACACTGTAAACGGATGTAACAGAGAATCCGGTAATTTTTCAAAATAAAACATTTTTCAAATTATGAAATAAATAAAACAGAAGTAATGTAACTTGGTTATTCTTTCTGTACGGCCCGGTACCAAATGACCCACGGACCGGCACCGGTCCACGGCCCGTGGGTTGGGGACCGTTGCCGTACAAAACCCACCAACAAGGCTCTCTCCTCTCAGAACGACTTATTCATGGGCAAGTGTTACACAGCCATGGAGGTCGACAGTCTCCGCTCATCCCACCCGGTTTCCACCGCTGTGGAAAACCCCACCGAGATCCAGGAAATGTTTGACAGAGTGTCCTACGATAAGGTCAGTTTTTTTTCCCCCGTTCGCAGCATCCTCGATCAGCGTGTGGTTCTTTGTTGAACGCGGTTTGCTTCTTTTTCAGGGAGCGTGCCTTCTGAACATGCTGAAAGACTTCCTGACACCTGACGTGTTCGAGGTTGGCATCCTCCGCTACCTGAAGCGCTATAGCTACAAAAACACCGCCAACAGCCACCTGTGGGAGAGCCTGACCAATGTGAGCCATTCATGTGTCTGAGGACAATGCCCCGAAATTGTATTTTTATATATTCTTTATCCTCTGTGCAAAACAACACATATTACTGCAGCTTATAGTGAGGAGTTGTGACCTTAGCGTCCGGCTCATTTTGTGCTTTTTGCTTTATGAAAAAACACGACAGCGCTTTGGGTCCTTTTCTGGATGCTGCCGGTTATTTGCATTTCAGCAAGATAATTGATAATTGCACGGGGTGCAGAGCTGCTATTCATAATGCCGCTTGTCCTCTCTCACCGAGAACTAAAAAGTGTCCCTTAGCTTAGCAAATCGCAAAGGCTGCAATTAAAAAAAAAAAAAAGCTTGATTTTAATTTGTGAATAGGATAATTAAAAAAAAAATGTAATTATGTACATTTTATATTTTAATTAATTTAGTGTCTTGATAAGTTTCGAGCTGAAGTGCTGTCTACATGCTTACATATTGTTTTCACGTCACATGAAAAGTGATACAGCCACTTATGACTTACTGACTTATGTTCACGCCTTTTTTGTTTGGTACATTTTTGTTGAAGTGTTGCAGTGAACGCTTGCAAGGCACGGCAGCTTTTATTTGGAGAGCACGTTTCAAACACAACGGGCGTCACATAGTTCAAAAACAACATTTGAAGGCAAAACACCCAATTTAAAGGCAAAAGGCATTTCGAAGCCAATGAATGAAATAACAAGTAGTTTACAGTGCCAGACCATGATTTTAGAAACAATAATGACAGAAATGCTCGAAAAGACCTTAATCATAGTTAGGGTGGGGGTGGGGGGGAGCATCAATTTTAACCTTGATTTAAAACCATTTACATTTGGGGACAACTTCAGTTCTGTTGGGATCTTATTGCATTTCTGTGCAGCATAACAGCAGAATGCTGACCCACCATGTTTGCACTGAACTTGGTCCTAACCTATAAAACTAAATTAATGTGATATATAATCTTTAAAGATTATTCAGAGCCTTAAGGTCATTTGAATTCAACAGCGCTGATGCAAACTCTTTACCCCTCATCGATTTTCTCTTCTCGCACAGGTTTGCGATCTGAATGATCTGCCAGGCGCGCCGACGAAACAAAAAGAATTCTGCTCAAAACACATCCTCCCATCGGGAGAAAACGTACGTGCTTGAAAATGTCACCGGGTGTGATGGACACGCTGTGATTGATTTGTGCCTCGTGTGGTCCATCAAACAGTACGATGGCGAGAAGTTTGACATCAAGACCGTCATGGACACGTGGACGCTACAGAAGGGCTTCCCGCTCGTCAACATCGACTTGAAATCGCGCAAGCTCATTCTCACCCAGGAGCGTTACCTGATGACGGAGCCGGAGCCCGCCACCACTAAAGCCCCTGTGGAAACGTAAACAAAACAAAAAAATAGTCATAAATACTATCCATCCACCCGTTCATCTTTGCTTATCCTCATTAGGGTCAAACTGCACAATTTTAATTTCAATTGTGATATTCAGGCCCGTTTGGCAGATTCCACTCACATACAAGACAAGTGACTCTGCCACAACACACCACCACCTGATGAGAAATGCAGTCGGTAAGAGTTTTTTTTTTTTTCACTTGACGCCTGGGGTGTCATAATACTTTTTTTTTTTTTTTTTTTTTGAGATTTTTTTTTTTTTTTCCTCGCGCCGGGTGGGGTGTCATTTTTTTTTTTTTTTTTTTAATCGCGGGCTCCATTTCCTCTGTGAAACCATAATAAGGAAGTCAAGAATAAATTGTTATCGAAATATGAAAACCAGTTGGTCGTTCCAAATGAATTGAAATGTGTCGTCTTTAACCATGCGAAAATATATATTTTTTATTTTTATCCAAATACTTGATTATTAGGGAGAATTTTCTTGAAGCTTTCCGAGTACTAATGGAGACGATTTTTTTTTTTTTTTTTTGGTCAATGTCCTCCTCCCCTGTAAATGTTTGTTTAGGCGGTTTATTCTATTATTTCCAACTGTACTGTATGTTCAAAATTGTTTTTCTTGTTTTCTTTGATTTTTTTTTTTTTTTTTTTTTAAACAACGTAACTGAGCTTTAAAATTTGTGTTTGTGTTTTGCACTCGTTGCTGAACCTAGTTTGTAGTGAAATGGGCTTGTGTCCAGTATTTGCGTTGACTGTAGCTCCTGGTCCACAGATCTCTTTCGCGTTCCCAACGGCGTGGACTGGGTCAAGTTCAACGTGGACATGAGCGGCTACTACGTCGTTCACTACGGCAAAGAGGGGTGGAAGAACATGATTAAACTGCTGCACAAAAACCACACGGCGCTGAGCGGCAAGGACCGAGCCAGTCTCATCCATGACGCCTTCCGGCTCGTCAGGTCGGCAAACGTCGAGAGCGATGCGTTGTTTTTTTCACTGACAAGAGTTTGTTTTTTGGAAAATTTTGGACTTTGCAAAAAGGCAACGATACATTTAGGGCAGGGGTGCCCAACCTTTTTTGTCCCAAGGAACCAACCTCCGGAGCTCTACCAGTCCAGTGTCAACATCGCAAGCCCACACACTAATGTGAATGATGAGCAATAGCCATAACTGACCTTAATATGAACCAAACAGAAAAAGAAACCAGATACGATATAATTTTTTGTTTATTTTAGACAAAGAAAAGTTTCCATTTACATCCAGCCCTGACGGCGGGATCAGCCAGCAGCGGCTTCATTTGGGGGAGGGGCCACAGCGGCACCAGGCGCTGCTCATTGAGAACAGGCTTAACAACATGCTTTCACGTCACAGTCTCCAATGACACCAGAAAAAGCCGCTAGATTGTCACGAGTCACTGTTTTGAAAAAAGAGGCGCTCGAGAGGGTCGGAATACTCGCTAAATATAGCGTCAAAGTCGCTAAGTTGGCAACACTGACTTCTTGTCATGTCATAATTATTGTATGTTTTTTTTCCTACACACCTCGCAGTCACCTTGGGAGCAGTCCCACGGTCGACTGGTTGGGCGCCGCTGATTTAGGATGTTGCCTTTTTTTTCTGGACTTGCATTGACCACAAGTATCGAGGGGAAAAGAAAAAAAGGCTGCGTAGACCGTGTTGTCTAAAAGTGCTCGTTAATACAGAATATGAGGATTATATTTTCATGGCTTTTACACGCCTTATTTTATTTTTATTTTTTTTTGAAATGTGCATTTTGCAGTATCAAGAAGCTGGGCCTGGAAACAGCTCTGGACCTGTCCGCATATCTCTCCAAGGAGACCGACATCATATCAGTGACTCAGGGCTTTCAAGAGCTCCTCCCCATCTACAAACTGATACAAAGGAGGTAGCTTGGTCTTCTCGAAGACGGCATGAAGGTGAGCTGAGTTTTACCACCGAAAGTCAAAACGACGGCTGTTTTCTTGGTTGGGAAACAGATGTCTGACACAACACATCAAATGATAATTAAGTCAAGAATCTGTAGAGTTGAAATGCCGCCTGACTGGTTTTATTTGGCGCCTGAATGGGACATGTCTGCAAGCTTTTGTAAGAGGGTGTGAAGCAGTGATTGACTCTGGGTGCAATTACTGTTAAATTAAATTGTCACTTACAGCTTGAAAATATTGTCAATTAGCTCTTGCCAGCCTTTAATGTTAGGAAAAAAAAAAGACCGAATTTTTTTAAGAGCTAATATTTGCCGATTAAATTGGTCAGGGCCTAGTTGAAACTCTTGGCAACAAAAGTGATCACACCCCTCGGTGAAATGTCCAATTTGGTCCCAATTGGCAAGTTTCCTCCTTTTGATACGCTGACTGATGAACACATTCAAATTGTAACTCGTTCCTGCTTTTTTTTTTTTCTAATATTTTCAAAATGAGTTCCAAATGACCTCTGTTTGATCTAGAAACGATCATTCCTGTTTTAGTCTCCTCCTTCACTTCCTCAGCATTGTTCTCCGTCTCCAATTTGTTGAAACCACCGCCGCTCGGCTTTTGTCCAGATCCATTCCGATGTTCAGGCTCATCGCTCGGTTCTTTCTTTCTTGCTTCCTGTTCAACATTCTTGGACAACATTTTGACAGTCACATCCAGTACCGCAATACTCTGGTGTCATATGACATCGTGTCATATCATTATCTGCTTGCTTCCTTCTATTTACAGTCCCTCACCTTAGATTGAAACCAAAAGGCAGTAATAAGTTGTGCCATATCGTTTTTAAAAAAAGTGCATCCCGAGATATGGAGGTCTGGGTATCTTCCCTGTATGTAAAGGATCCTCAGACCCACGGATTTCAAGAAGGGCCTGTTTTAGACGTCCGACTAGTTGAGACTAAATCAAAAGTGAGCATCTCTGCTTGTACCAACCAAGTAGTGCAGTTCATTTTTTTCCTTGTCTCCCCCCTCCCCCACAGAGTTTCATGCTAGACCTGTTCAAGCACTTGATTGACAGTCAGAGTTGGGACGATTCTGGTTCGGCGTCGGAGCGAATGCTGCGCAGCTCCCTGCTGCTGTTCGCCTGTGTCAGGAACTACACCCCTTGTGTGACGAAAGCCAAGCACCTGTTCAACTTGTGGAGGGACACGGATGGCCAAATGAGGTCAGAGCCGGCATTCCCTCACGTTGGAGCGATGATGATGATGTCTGATGCACGGAATTGAAGATGTCTGCGCTTCTCAGCCTCCCCATCGACGTCACCCTGGCCGTGTATGCCGTCGGGGCTCAAACAGAGGAAGGGTGGGACTTCCTGTTTGAGTTCTACCGCCGGGCCTTGCAAACGTCCGTTCAGACCCGCATCAGGATTGCCTTGGCGAGCAGCCCGTTGCATCAAAAGCTCAAGTGGTGCGTATGCTAACAAGAACGCCGCACACGGCTGTCCCGTTCGCCTCAGTACAATTAGGACATTATATCAGGGCATGGGTGTCAAACTCAAGGCCTGGGGGCCAGATCTGGCCCACCACATCATTTTAAGGTGGCCCGTGAAAGCAGCTCAATCGTGTCAACTTCCATGATCCTTTCTAAAATGTCTATCAACATTTTATGTTGATAGACATTTTAGTTATGTTTAATTTAATTTAATTTAATTTTTTAGTTATGTTTAAATTCTCATATGTAATAAATAAGAGATATATTCTAAGCGTTTTCTTGTTGCCAAACCCCTCATTACAAAAACTTCAACAACAGGTGAATAAACCATTATTCTTGACTTCTTTCGGTCATAACGGCCCACCAAGTGAAACGCTAACTAAAATGTGGCCCGCGCCCAAAATGAGTTTGACACCCCTGTATTAGGATATGGGAAATGGGGGATGATTGAAAAATGCTAAATGATTCAAAGTAAAGCAAATAGGGATACATATATAACTTATTTATCCAATTCATTAGTTGTTTGTATTGATTTCGCTGATCAGAGTGACTTGTATGTACGCACCTTGAATAATTTTAGTCAGCATAAAAAAAAAAAAACCCTGCCTTCATTCTCTTCTTCATGTTTCACTTTTTTTCCTCAAAAGTGGGGAATCCTTTTTTTAAAAGAAGTGCGTCTCCTCTTCTTTCCTCTGCAGGATTCTGGAGCAGAGCCTCCTCGGCGAGGTGATTAAAACTCAAGACCTGCCACACGTGTTGGTCTCTGTCAGCAGGAACCCCCGAGGCCACAGACTAGCGTGGGACTTCCTCCGAGCCAACTGGCAGACCCTGATCAAAAAGTCAGTCGTAAGCCGCGCCATGAGTGACATTTATGGTACAAGATACTTTTGTTATCACAAAACTGAACCGCAAATGGGACAAGTGTCGACATGTGGACTACTTTCTTGTCGGCCGGCATCTTACTTGTGCCCGTCTGATTTCCAAAGTCTCTCAGGCTCTATTAGGTAAGAAGTGTTATCATTTTTTTTGAATGATAGCCAACACTAAATTGCTGAGTGAACTGAAATCAGGTCAGGTCCGGGACGTCCAATGAGCTTCTTTGCGTCATAAATGATTTTGACACTCTGGGTTAGGGCTGAACTATTTAGAAAAATCATTGAATTGCGAAAAATCCTTTCACTATTCCGATTTAATATGCGATTATTTTTTATAAGCTCCTCTTCCCTGTTATTTTTTTTTTTTAACAAACACAAGCAATCATTTGTTTCGTTTTGTTTCTCGCATAAAATGTGTGTGTGTGTGTGTGTGTGTGTGTGTGTGTGTGTGTGTGTGTGTGTGTGTAAAATTAAATCCTCCCTGAGAAGCGTTTGCAATTTGACAATTGCACTGTGCTAACATTGCGATGCCAATTTGAATTTGATTAGTTGTGCTACGCTTGTTTTAAAAAACTGCCTGTCAGTCATGTGAATGCAGTGTAAGGGACTCTGGCAACAAATCGCCACAGTCCAAGTTTCTTTGGGTACCTGTTTCAGGGGAAGTTGTATACTTACCGGTAAATATAAGAAATATGTTCTAAGATTATCAAAGAATTGACCTCTATGAACGAATATTGCAGGTTTGAAGTTGGCTCCTCCTCCATAGCGCGCATGGTGAAGGGCGTGACCGGCCTGTACTCCACCAAGACAATGCTATCGTCGGTGAGTGCATTGGCGCTTTATTGTCTTGTAAGAATCCACAATTAAATTAAAAAAATAAAAAGCACAATTACTGATATAAGGTCTGTGTCAAAGTGCTGTCCGAGGTGTTGTCAGTTAGCACTGTTGTAGGCCTCAGTTTTTGTTTTTTTGTTTTTTTTTAATGCGTATTCAGTAGGTCCAGGACAATATGGATTTTTTTTTTTTTTTTTTTTTTAGTCAGAGTTCTTCCCGCTGACAAAAAAAAAGTTGTGATTTACAGGCTTTGTCTGCGAGTGTCTGTTTAAATCAGGGGCATACATTCTGCTACACAAAAGAAATTGACCATATCTTCCGCACCATAAGGCGCACCTAAAAGCATTCAAGTTTCTCAAAAGCCGACAGTGCGATTTATAATCTGACACGCCTTTTATATGGATCAATATTCTGATTTCTTGGCCTTAGTATTTTAAATGTTCTATAAAGCGCTTTGTTACAGTTGCAGCAGTTGTGAAAGCTCTCTATTGATAAAGCTGTATTGTATTGTATTGTATTCCCTTTAGTGGGGCTCCATCTAGTGGATGCTTAACACAACCGCTACCACTATTGTAGCTTCGATTCGATGCGCCTTATAATGCAATGCGCCCTATATATGAAAACAGTTTTAAAATAGGCCATTCATTGACAGTGCGCCTGAAACTCCGAAGCTCCTTAGAGTGCGGAAAATACGTTAAACTCCCAAAAATGTATTTCCTCAACATGTGTTGCCTGGCACCATTTCCCTTGACCAGTGTTTGAGGACCACTGCTCTCGTAAATTTGGATACATATTATGGATTGGGTCTCATCCGATTGCAAGTTGTTGGTCGTATATTTCATGGAAAATTGCATCTCGAGAACTTTGTCATCTACCGCTTTGCTTTGGTGAATCACTTGTATTGGTGTGCTCAGGTGGAGAAGTTCTTCAGCTCTCTTACGGTGGAGATGGGCTCAGAGATGCGATGTATCCAGCAGACCTATGACGCCATCCATGAGAACATTCGCTGGGGCGAAACCAACTTCTCCGTGCTGCAGTCCTGGCTGAAAAAACAGATGACCAGGTTTATTCATGAGGACTTGTAAGAGGGACGGGAAAAAAAAGACACTTTTTAGATTTCTTACCCAAAATGTAATATTTTGGGGGACAGATGGGTCGCAATTAGGAAGGAGCTTCCATATGTTTTATTGAAACATCTTATTGATGTCAGTCTGTGCCAAGTATCTTTGGGTTATATAATTCACTAGCTTCAAGACCATATCTAAATCATCTTTCTTTCATGCTCTTGCGGTCTTCAACTGATTTTCATTTGGGTTTTAATTTATTATGAATTGTTATTTTAGGACTTTTGGGTTGACCCCAGGAGTTTCTCAATATGAAGTCCATGTGTGTTTCTCAATGTCCGTGTGCCAAAGAGGTCAAAATGCTTTTGTCGTTTGGGAGTTTTTTTTTGTTTTTTTTTTAAACTTTAAATGTTGCATGGGTGGAACACTGACCCTTGGGGTGCTCCCCGTGCTTGTGAGGACCCTCTCATGGTAATCTGTTCTTACCCGACCCTGTTCTACATCATCCATCAGTGTGAATGGGAGTGTGTCTACTTTTTTTTTTGTCTGTATGTGCGTCGTGTAATTCAACTCTTCATCAAAGTCATCAAGGATAGGCCTCACGATCCTGAACAGGATAAGCGGTTAGGAAAATGGCTTTCCGGTACACGTTTCGAACTATCCCTTTGATATTTATTTTCTTCACGACGATGAATGCTATTGTTTTGTGCTAATTCGCTGCTATTTTTGTTCATTGATGACTCTGATACAACTTGTCACTTTTTCATGCTGTTGGCTTGGCGTTTCAGGTTTTGTAGAACCTGAGCATTGCTGTCGATTGCTGCTGTTTTCATGGATATATGGGGTATCGATCACATCTGCACGCCATTACAACCGTGATTTGTTTAATTTAATTGAAAGTCCTGTGACAGCAGCGATCCTGTAAATGAGACTTTTACCCACTTGCATATTGCAATGTATGAGGAAATCCAGATGTCCTATGGGATACACTTGTTTTTAATCTTGATGAATGTATCAAGCAAACCTTGCATTGTGTCACTTGGATTATTAAAAAAAAAAAAAAACAGATGTACGTCAGATTTGATTTGACTTTGACTCATCGCATCCCTATTTTGACCATCACAAACAAACCGCATTGGAAACATCTCTCTTGTCCAAAGTATGTTTAAGAGTAAAACAGTTCTAAAACCGCCCCTGATTTGTGTGGACTTTTTTATATCCACTGATGCACATAATACTTGTTACCGCAAATCTGCCCAATGCATGAAAAAAAAAATGCTTAACTGTTAATTTGTGTCTACAAATTCTCCACAGGACCTTACTGTGTCTAATGTGGTCTGAGGTTAGACGGCGTGGCCGGCGGTAGCGTTTACTTTAAAAACTCTGCAGCCGTCATAAATTCTTGCGCTGGACCTTTGGCACATACCAATAAAAGGCACCGGATACTATAATAGAAAACAGCACATCTGCAGTATCCGTGTGTGCCAGCTTCAACTTGCATGAGAAAGTCAACCTTATTCATTCATTTTCTGCGCTTAACCCTTGCACAGACCGGGCCGCGGGCCGCTCCCTGGCAGCAGCACACCCAAGTCAGAACAACGCCTGCTTCGCTTAGCCCTTGAGTCCACACCTGAGGAGAGCCGTCGCTGCGACTCAAGGTAAGAAGCTCCGACCTCCTCATTCCACAATGAAGAATATCAGCGTGGAAAAGAATTGTGAGCGCTCACGTTTTTTTTTTTTTGTTTTGTTTTCCCGCCATCATTGGGAAGATGGGACTCGGTACGGAACGAGAAAAGTCAAAGCTAATGAAATATACTGAAATAGAACTTTTGACGTTTAATATTGTTTATATATACGTTGGCAAATCATTTTATATTAGCACCGTCCTTTTTTTAGGGTGGGAGGAGAGGAACTTAGGTGCCCTGTACCTCACACGAAAAGGCGTGACACACTCACGTGATCCCTCCTAGCCTCTGTGTAAAGAAAGTTAATTAAAAACTCAAGGTAAATACAATAAAACGAAATGCACATTTCACCCGCGCTACTGACATCTGCAGCGCCGCTATCAACTGTTCAGTTCTGATTCCTGATCTTTTACGATCAAGTGTAAGAAATGTCTCGAGTGAGGCCATTTGTGGCATTTCAGACACCTGACAATAAGGCTCGTGATAACGCGTCGTGTCCACTTTTATGTCACGGCTGGATTCGAAATTCAAAACACCAGACCAACTGACCAGCCAAATAGTGAGCCAACACCCACCGTTGTCATTTACGGCGGATCGGCAATGATTTACAAAATGTTGACGATCAATCAGTACTTTACAAAGGCACACTTAGTGGAAAGTGGTGACCAACGTCTTACGGAGTCACAGAATTTCCTACGGGACCAATAAAGGATCGACCTCCCTATTTAGCTACTGGCGACCGCTGCAAAAAATGTCTGTTGACATTGGGTTGGGTGTCATTTTTGTCAGCATGCAGTCGTGTCGTCCGCTAATCAGTGTGATGATTCAGCCGCTCGTGATAGTGTCATGTGTCTACTGAAAGATTACGCGTCACTGCATTTTTATTTCTGTATGATGATGTAACATACTCACAGTGGCAAAATTGCTTACGGGCTTCTGTTGGACTGAGCAGAAACGCGGTGGGCGCTGCAACAACTTGGGTTGATTCAAGAGCAAAAGTTTTCCTTTGCGTTTGTTTCAATCAATTGTTCTCACTTTGTGTAAAATTACTTGATTCTCATGAAAATGTATTTTTGAATGGACTTCTTATCCAGGGTTGGTATTTTGTTTATTAAGTCATTTAGGAACGAGTGAATGCGCTTAACATAGCGTGTTACTACCTACGTGTTACCTAAGATGAAAACTAAAAGGGGAAAAAAAAAGGGTTTCGGCAAAGTACATAATTTCAAAACAGTGACAATATAAAACCGAGTACACCAGAAAAATATGTAGATAATGTGCATAGATGCAGGCATTTGACTATCTGTGTACCGCGGGTTCCGCAGATTATAGCACAGTGTAAACATTCAAGTGAGCAGGATTATAAAAGAAACGTATTGCAGCGTGGCTGACAGATTATGATGTCATTTGTTCAGAGGTTTTAGGATTGGTAGCTTTGTATCCTTTTTCTGACTGTGATGCTCCTGGAACATCATTAAAGCCAAGACAAAAACACTTAAGACACTAAAAATAAAGGCTCAAATCTCATCCTTGTTGTGTTATACGCCGAGAAATATGAATATAACTTTAAAAAATGACCTATGGCACGGATGGACAAGTAGCATGTAGAGATGGACCAGCTCACAGAGGTAAGGCGGCGTACAACCATTTGGAGATTTGAAAACAAATAGTTGACTCTTAAGTTTGCGTCTTTACAACAACCCAGTCATTCATGACGACATCTTTACGCAAGAAATCCGAACCAGCAACAACCAGTGCGGTTGGACTGTAAAAGCAGACTGTAAACCGTATTGTGTTGCCCGCTAAAGACGCTTATCACGACACGGATGGGTTGTAAAAAAACACACACACACACACACACGCACACGCATACATTCTGAGATCATGGCGACTCGTACAAATTAATGTGGTTCAAAGTGTATCATGCAGTTTTTGGAAGATTAGCGGGAGTTGATCTGCCTCGGATTTCAGCGATGGAAATAAGACTGTACTGCTTTAAATAGTGTGACCCTCTCCGTGCCTCATTGGTGTCTTTTATTGAGGTACAATTAAAAAAAAAAAAAAAAATCACAAAAGTACTGGACTGAATATATCCTGAAATAGTGATGAGCTCATCTTGAGACAAAGCTATTATTCTGGTATGAATGGCCACAGGTGGATCGACCTTCCGCCATATGGTGGAGTATGTCTCACTAGATGTCATAGATAGATCAATAAAAATACATCAGCGACGAAACCCCATTTAAGATATTGAAATGTGCTCTTCAAGCATTACAGCATTTTGCGGGCGACCCACACTGGCCAGTTGTTAGCTGGCGTAGCATTTCATTGGTGAGTAAGTGAACAAGCTAGCGTAGCATTTCATTGGTGATTAAGTGAACAAACAAAAGCAGTCAAGATTGAGGCTTTGTCTTCATTGCGTTTTTAAGAAAATGATTCCCCGATAGCGCTGTTTAGCTTCATTAGATCAGCATTTGGTTGATTAGTTTACCTGCTCTTGAAAAAATAAAATCTACATATTGGTATTCAAACTCAATTAGCATATGATGCTAATGCAAGGAGAAAGATTGTGCGACGAGGCGTTACAATTGACTCGCGCTCGCTTCTCTCCACCTGAGTGACCTGCCGCGAGCTATTTACAAGTTAGTTAGCGGCATAGCACGTTAGGCATGACTGCTGAAGTGTGGGACTTGAATAATTAATGTTAAACAGGATTTAGCATGCATGTATTTATTAACTAGACACATTTTAAGTGGAACGGAATCAGGGAGGTCCCGGCTAAATAATCTGCAATTGCTCCCGTTCAGGTCTGACTGCTCTTCTGTTGCAATCCACATTCGTTCACCTCACCTCGAAGGATGGCTTTCAGCAGCATCCCCGCTCTCGAGTAAGTCCATTCACATGCAACAATTCGGGATGTTTCAAGCGGCAAATCGAACATGTGACTGCAACCGCATCCATTTGCCTCCCAAGGATCTTCCTGGCCATCCTGGGCATCGGCCTCCTCATCATGTTCTGCACCACCTTCTGCAGGGCGTGCAGCCGCCTGAGGGAGGAGGAGATCGAGAGGGAGGCGTGGAGGCGGACCGAGCATGACGGTCGCCCTCCTTCCATATTTTTCATCCCCTTTCATGGGAGAATGTCACAGCAGCAGCAGGAAGAAGACCAACACGGGGTGCCTCGGTACAGCCAAGAAACTTTGACGCCACCGCAGTACAACACTGCCGGAGGCTACTGTGGACCACCGCCGTCCTACACCGAGGTGATTCTTGATGTCCCTTTTCAAATACTGTTTCGATAGCATTCATATCACCTTTTTAAGGTCTTTATACACACTTCTAAAATAATACAAACACATTTAAAAACATAATATATTGAGAGTGACAGCGCGCGTGCAATAGATATGACAAAACTATTTCACACCGTTAGTCAACCAATCCCTCTGTTTCCAGTCAACAAATCCCATTTTTTTTCTCAAACAATTTATCTCATAATAGACATCGATCATGCCCAAAAATGTACATTATATAATGAACCTACAAGTTTTCTGTAGGAATAAAAAGCAGGATTACCGGGGATGAAATTCAATCAGGTCGAATAAAATCTAGGCTGAGCTTGAAATATTTCCCTTTTTCACTCTTCTGCTTTCATTTTCACCAAACATAATTGTGCCACCATCTAGCGGCAGACTGCAGAATTACACCAGAAATAAAGAAGTGGCAAGACAAAATTGAGTTACTTAAAACTAAAAAAAAAAAAAAAAAAAAAGATGAATTAGGGTCATAAGGTTCTAACATAGGGCTGGGCAATATTTAGGATTCAAGGGCCACATTGCAGTTTTTGAAACAAGGATGGGCCGGGTCATTTGTTAGCTGATGGGAATGGAGAGGTGTATGTAAGATACTTTCACTCATTTTCAGATTGTATGATTTATTTGAATATAAAGTACTGTACATCTGAGTTATGCGGCACAGTTGGCATTGCCCCACAGGTCGGAGATCCCGGGTTTGAAGCCAGCCTCTGTGGAATTTGCAAGTTCCCCACATGCTTGTGTTTGGTTTTATACTCTTGCTCCCCCTCACATTCCAAAAACATGCATGTTAGGTTCATTGAAGACTCAATTGTGCATGTGAGTGGGAACGTTTATCTCGCTGTGCCTTGCGATTGGCCGGCGACCAGGACATCCAGAGTGATGTGTCACTGAAACGTTCCCCTCGTGTGTGACTGTGGTTTTGTCTTTTCTGCTGTGTTCCAGCTGGGCTTTAAACCCGACGATTTGCCGCCAGCGTACACAGAATACAACGTGAACGCCGTCATAGCGCCGGCTCACACGGATGCCGTCCAATCTTCGACGCAGCCATAAGACACTGCAGCCGTGA